CATAAGCAAATAAATCAATTCCATTTGAAGTCAGAATTTCTGGATTGACCAGCTACTTTCATTTTCAACCATAAAGCTGAGCTTGTATCAAAACAGTTAAGGATATTCTGCATTAAGAGGCTAGATGAGCCACTTGAGCCTTATTACAGTAGTCTTTGAATCAGTAACCATGTTTAAAATACATCTTCATGCATACTTAGAAGCATATCCTTTTAAAGATCAGTTTAGGGAGGAAAGCGGCAATACTCTTATGCTGCTGAACACCAAGAATTCCCCATTAAATTGGACATACATTTGAAGCCCTCTTAAGTGGATTCATTTAGGGTTCAGTTTCCATCCAAATTATACTTACATGGAAATTAGCCCTTGAAATTTCCAGTAAGTATGTTCAGGAGTGAAGGTTATATTCTTGTCCATATAAAGTGAGTATTTTCTCATAAGAGATACCTCTCCATTTACTTAGTGTTCAGTAAATAGGGGAATATATTGCCATGTTGAACTATTATCAAATTTATGCTCAAATTCTAGTTCAGTCCCGATTTCCTTCAGTAGATGTTTAAAAAAGATCACTTTGTCTATATAAAAAAAAAACAAGCAAACAGGACTGGCTTTCCGCATGTGTTTTTACATCACAGAAGGAATTTTACCCAGGTTGTTCAGTGTTATGACATGTCATTGCCTCATCTATCTGACATAATAATGTAGCTCAGTATCTGATACGGGAGCTAAGCCACAATAGTAGTTAAGGCTGAAATCTGTGGCAGCACAATTCTGTTGAAACTACAGCTTGACCTTCCAGAATTAACATTTAAGAATCCTAAAAAAACCAAGATTCTAAAAGCATTGTTTCTTATCCATATAAGGGAATCCTCTAAATAATGGATTTGTGGGGAAAGATTTGTATTTCCCTATGTATCTTTTAATTAATTTCCTGGCAAGCTGCTGTGCTTATTCAAACCAATAATTGTATAAAAACTGAATCTTAACTTCAGAATAACCCATTTCACAATACAAACATTATTTATCTGTTAACCCCCAAGACTATGTATGACTGTAGTATTAACCTTTGCCCTATTTTGCTCTAATTTACATTGTTCCTTATTCTATTGTAGGCTGTTCCTAGTCTGAGACAAGAACTTCATAATCAAGTGTTTTGAATACACACATGAATTTTACTAAAAACACTTGAGGGAACTATTATTTTCTGCCAATTTTACACTCGTCTTCCTTATGCAGCGCTTACCTGTTCTCTCCCCCCCCATTGACTTTGTATTGCAGAGCACCTTGAGATGTCATGAGGTGCACCAATTATCAGATTTTATAGCCAGAACAGTGTCACCGATTTAAAAAGGGGGAGGGGGATGTTTCCATATGAAATGCTACCACCGGAGGCATAGATGGAGGCATTAATTTCAGCTTTGTGAAATGTTTCCCGCAGTATTAAATAATTACTTAAATGAGGAAAAATCACAAAGGCAGCATTTCTTAAATGCTATCTGATGCTCATGCAGACCCATTTAAGAAACTTTTACGGAATTAATCAAGCTGAGAGGGAGTAATTTGAGCAGCCTCAATAGATTGGAAAACATTTAAAACCCATTACAGCCTGCATGCATCAGGAGTCACTTCATGGTGTTGACATGGAAGAGAACAGCAGCAAAAATAAATGAATAAAAACCAAAGTGGTCTGGAACAGAAATGAAGGTTGTGAAATGTAATTAATACCATAAAGATTTTGCTTACCAGGTGGAATTGTGGCTGTTCCCCTCCCTTTGGTGAGGTAATACAAGTAGCTGGATTCCCATTTTTTCCTAATGAGCACTTCTTTCCTAGTACATTGTACAGGAACGGTGGAATGTGGCAAATTAATACAAGACTTACCCCCCCCCCCATTTCCTTTGTGTACATATGGCCAAAGAAAATGAAAATACAACACCCCCCTTTTTTTTGTAATTCCAGCAAAATGTCAATGACACTAAATATTTGGGATCCAGTGGTAGCATTTCATCTTTCTTAACAGTTAAATCTGACAAAACTAGAAAACATGCTTCCCTGACCCATATTCCATTTCAGAGATCTCGAGATGAAAGAGGAAGGGGGAAAAGAAGGCACAAAAAAGGTTGTCGGTCTATCACAAATATAGCCACTTAATAAATTTGTCCCAAAACAAGTATCACAAACACGTAGGTATCACAAAAACCCGAAGTTCTCATGTGATGTTGAAACCTTAAAAAAAAACCTCAGTGGATTTATGATAATACTTTGCACTTCTAGCAAGCTGTACCTAGAGATTTCCCAAAGATGAAGCAGTAGCGGAAGTTTGTTAAATCATTTTGGAAAAGTGACAAAACGGTTAGCCACTTCTGCCCTCCCCCAGCTGCTTGCTCAGGGCTCCAAACATAAGGAAGTGAAGGGGAGGAGCTAGCTACAAGCTGCTTACATCAGCTCTTGAAAGCCTCGTGGGTTCTTGTATTAGGAGAGAGAAGGCGCCGCCATTTTAGAAGCATAGGCGATTAAGGAAATAAAAGCAAGAGCCTTCAGAATCTATTGAGGAAACCATATAGCAATACAACCCCATCACATGCACAAATTCTATCATTTTATATCAGTTCTACCAACTAGAACCTATTTAACACAGTTCAAAAAAGGGGATCCCTTGTTTGGTGAGTGCCGGAGACTCAAAGAACCTCTCATTATTCACCATTGTAAGGTCAGTAGCTCCTGACCCCTCCTGTTTTTTCAGAGGTAGACGAAATAAAAATGGAAACATCCTGTAAAGGAAAATCGTAATGCTGCTCGTCAGGGACAGAAAGATTAAAAGTAAACACTGCTGTACTGCAGCGAGGGGAGTGAGAGAAATAGATGAAAACATTTTAAAAGCAAATTAAGATCTCATTTGAATCCAATTGGTTTCTATTTTTCTATTAGTCCTTTTTAAAAAAAATATCAAGTTTAAAATGATTTTCCAAACTCATTTTGCAATCTTTATTTCTAGATTGCTTTTTCATATTACAAGCCTACATATACATTAGAAAACCTTAGTTTTTTAAAAAAACCACAAACCCCTTAACAAACATCCTTAGAAATATAGGTGCTGACACATAAACCCATCCAAAAAAAAATGACTCGATCTGGCTACTAGTTATTGCTTTCTTTGTCCCATCTCTTGCCCTGCAATCTTTATGTACAGATTGCTTATTTAATTCAAGCACTTCTTGTCTCCCACACAAAGAAGCAGCACTTTATAGTTCAGTCACCACCATCTGTTATGTGGGAGCTCATTAACCCTTGACAGTCCTGGAGACGATGGATTTTCTAAGAGACCATCGTTCTCCTTATATATACATTTTTGGTGGCAAAATGCCTGCGTCTTAAGGGTTAACACCTCAAACAAAACCCACTTTCCCACAATTTTTTTTTTGTCTTTTCTTCGTGCCATTAGCTCACTTCGACACGGATGAATTTTTTTTTTGGTCAGTTGGTTGAAAATGCGACACTTACTATCCAATTAATTTTCTCGTCGACAGCGCCTCAAGGTTTAGCTTTTTTGGATTAAGCTGTGTTTTTAAAGAAAAAAATTGAATTTGGTTTTGCTCATTTTAAAAAAAAAAGCAACTTTTTGCAATAAAAAGTTGCTTGATAAAAAAAAACATCAGGGAAAGTTGTTGCTAAATATTAATTTTGGTTTTATGTTTTTAGTGGCAGTTGTTCTCCTTCAGATCATAAAGAATTTTAACAGCTTCCCAATACAGACGATCAGAAATGTAGATGGCTTTTTTGTGTCGTCTCAGAGGCTCAACTGTGGGGCAATTTTTCTTTGTTTCACGATGTTCAACGGTGTCTCAAGATCAAAGGAAACCTATAAAATGAAGACATAATTACAATTAAATTTCAAAAAATGTTAACTTCAAAAGCAGATAAAATATAGCATTTGGCTACGAATTGCCCTTTCGTAAATCTACGTTTCTATCGGGTTAAAAGAACCAGAAGAGAGGAAATAATTTATCGGATAATGTTAATTTAAAGTTTGGGCGGCTCATTTTTGAGTGGCTTGGGATTTTTTTTTTTTTTTGGTTAGGGCTTTCTTTGAAGGTTCAAGTTTCAAGGAAAGAAATAGGATTTGCAAATGTCAATAACACTATATTGGGTGGGGGGGGAGAAGAGGAAATAAAATTATCAGACCGTAATGCCCTTTTGTCCCCCTCCCAAGCCGCTCCCATAACAACGTTGCCAGAAACACAGTACTCACCTTTAAACAGACCCCAGAATGGCCGAAGGGAGCGCGCGCGGAGGCTTTTATATGGCGGCACTCCCTCCGCTCAACGCCTCCTCCCACCGTCGCGCGCGGCGTCCAAAGAACAAAGCCTTGGCCGCCTGCCCCGCCCAACTGGAACTTCCTTTGGTCTAAATACGGGATAAAATTTATATCGACGCATACGGTTCGAATTCAATTTTGAAAAGCAGTTCAACGGTCAGTTTAGAATTAAAAAAAAACCTGGATGAAGCTCGTGACGCAGTTAGGAAATCAGGAACGCGCATGCGCAAACGGGTGCCAGGCTTGCCGTCGTAAAGTTACGTGCGCGCGCGCGGGCCACGGGTTTTCTCCGCCGGTGGAGGCTGGGAACCAGACAGCGAGATGGGCTCCGGAACTGAGCATGCGCGTAATTTGGATGCTTGAACGCCGACCCTCCCGAGAATTAAACAATCCTGCTCATGCGCAGTAAAGGACCCAGCGCCGTTGGCTTCGATGGCTTCCGGTGGGGGTTTTATTGTGTAGGAGTGGGAAGGGCAATTGGGGCGAATCAACCGTGACAAAAGATATCGAAGCCAAAAAATAGAAATCTTTTTAAAAAGTGATGGTGAGGTTTGTTTGCAATACATGTGTGATCGCTTCTCCTGGAGTGAACTGGAGATAATAACTAAGTCAAATGACCTGTCCTGGAACTCAGGGCGGGAGGAAATGCCTCAGGTTTTCTCAAGGTGACCTTGGGGGGGGGGATGAAGCGCAATGGCGCATGCGCAACGGTCTTTGTGCCCCGCGCAAGATGGCGGCTCCCAGTCGAGCCATGTTGCTGTGTGGGAACTTGGCCTCTTTAGCCGCCCGCGTGGCTTTTAATAGGTCTTGCGGGCTACGGGTAAGAGGACGCTTGTGTTTTTTTTTTTTAATAGTTAGAGTCATGTGTGATAGATTAACTTTTTTAAAAAGCAGCCTAGGGTTTTGTTTTTTTTTACAAAAAATCCATGGTGTCTTTTTATTTTGCGTTATCGTTAATTTACCTGAGGATTTAGCCGTCCTTATCTCCTAGTATAAATTTGATGAAGTGTTCCCTAAAGTTTACTCGTAAGATAGTAAATATAGAAATGTATGTCTTGCATAACGGCTTAGGTGTACGATTCCCCAAGAAGATCAATATGGACCATCGAGAGTCAATGTTGTTATTCGTAGTTAAGTACACTAGTAATAAACTATTCAAGTAACGATTTAGCTATTAAAGTAGCATTCATTCAATTAGTTTCAGATTCTAAATATTTAGAGGGCTGATGAACAGTCTGAAACTTCATGAAGAGATGGATCAATGAGCTGAAGAGTTTGGGGGACTCCCGTTTAAACTATGTGCACTCTGCTATTTCTAAAACCTCTCGGTTTTCTTTCTTCCCTTTCTTTAAAAGAGCTGTAGTGTTGTTTTCTGTTCATTAAGAACAAATGTTCATGCTAGAATATATTGGCTGTGTCGTTCTGTTAAAAAGATCTTTTTTCTAGAGAATCCCTGCGTTTTTCCTAGCCTATATTTATTGAAATAATTGATACAGTTTTGCTTTGTTCTCAGAGCCTACATTGTTAAATTGTCTAGACTAGAGTAGATTCTTAAATACACACATGTTCCACAGTGCAATAGAGAACTCTTGGTTCCATAGTTACAAGCATAAATTTCCTCCTTTGACCTTTCGAATGACAAATTGGAAAGCTGGGATCCTCAGAGGACTGTTTCAACTGGCCTTTGGGTCTGGGATTCTTGTCTCATTGTAATATCGCTGTTGGTAATTCTCACTTGTATCACTATCTTCTAGGGGAATTCTCAGCTGGCACATCCTCCTCCTCTCTTAACCCTTAGTGTTTGAGAAAGATAAGGCTGCCAATACTACTCTGTTTCCCCAAAAATAAGACATCCCCTGACAATAAGCCCAATCGGAATTTTGAGCCTCCCCCCGAAAATAAGCCCTTTCCGAAAATATTTAAATGCAGAGCTGGAAATCAGGTAAGACGGCAAGAGGAGCCCCATCTTGCTCCATGCACCCCAAAATAATAGGACTTCCCCGAAAATAAGGCCAAGGGCTTATTTTGGGGTTCAAAAAAATATAAGACAGAGTCTTATTTTTGTGGAAACACGGTAGCAAATTTAAAAAATGAATACATTTTATAGTGCCTGGATATGGGCCGTGAGAATAACCTTTGGAGTCAACCTAGATCACAAATGGTCTGAGTCAAAAGGAAGAATGTGGGTGGGGTAAGAGTCTCAGAAGGGATCCTCCCTTCTGAGAGGAGAAGACCTTTCAGACTTCCAAGATTTTGTCACAGTAACTTTACATTAAGGGTAGTATTATTACTCATGATTTTGTTTCCTCTGGGCTACCTTGCAATACTGAAAGGCTAGATAGAGTTGAGATGTGTGACTAATAGAATCAAGACTTCCTCAGAGAAAAAAATATTTTTAAAAGAACAAATCCCTTTTAGTTTAAAATAATCCCGTGCAAAACATTCAGTAGCAAAGCAACAAAAATATAAAATTGTTCCAATTTCCTATAGAAAAAATGTAAAGGGTTGATCTGTTTCCAATTCAAAAGCAACATAGTTATTGAACTTGTACAGAGAGAATAAAACCAGAAACAAAAGATAAGGCATAAGCACATACTATATTTGTCTTTTAGAGACAGTTTTCCTGAAACAGTAAAGCCTATAATAAACAAAAATAAAAATGAGGAATCTGGTAGCGCCATTTCTGACCACACATTTTATTTAAAGGCTTCCCTTCCAGATTCCTGGGGATTCCAGCAAGTTGATTCTAGACTGTTGAAGAAACTGACTGTACTCATTTCTTAGCCTCCATTCCCAGCTGCTATCCTCATTTTAAAAATAATTTTTTTTCATCTACCGGTAGCAGGAAAGGAGTGGTTTGGATATAATTTCCTTATATATGTGATCTCAAGCTATGTCTTGGTCACTTTGAATGTTGACTGAAACTGATCATACTACCGCATGTACAGTACATCTGGTGATTCCTAATAAAAAAGACTATTTGTAGCTCAAGAGTTCAACTGCGGGGTCATTGGTATTCTCTGAGCTTGGTTGTTTTCTTGCAAATGTTTCATTACCCAAGTAGGTAACTAGAAGGGAGTGGGTTTTGTTCTCTCTTTAATTACCAGTGACTTGCCCTGTCAAGGAACCCCCAAGACAGGACAGGCCACCAGAATATAAAAAGAGAGCAAACCCCACTACCTTCTAGCACTGATGATGTTACCTAGTTGGGTAATAAAACATCTGCAAGAAAACAACAATGCTCAGAGCATCAAGGATCTCATGATTCCTAATAGAGATGTCACTAGTCCCATACTGTTTCCATAAGTTAGTGTGGCTGGCTTTCAATGAAATTGGGGGTGGGTTGTGTGCTCTCTTGCACATTACCGGAATTATTAAGCCATACTGACTTGTAGAATTCCATACTCCCTGGATAATAAAGCAATTTCAGAGAAGTAAATCACTCTTAAACGTGAATAAGAAATATATATATCTATATATATCTGTCTTCTTACGTTTTCGCGGGTGTGTATATGCAAAAAATTAAAATCTCGGGTGTTTTCCCGCGTCATGTTAAATAAGTTAGTTAAAATGTTTAAAATTCTGGTTAAAATCCTAGCTTAAAATCTTCCAAAATTAGGATTTTAACCAGAATTTTAAACATTTTAACTAACTTATTTAACATGATGCGGGAAAACACCCGAGATTTTAATTTTTTGCATATATATATATATATATATATATATATATATATATATATATGCAAAATAAACTAACGAGAAAACGTAGCATTTTGAGTTTTAGTTTTCAATAATCCCTTTACTGCAAATAGCTAGAGGGTAGCTGTTGCCTACCCATTAGAGATACTGCTCTTAATTTCTGAATATCTGATTGAAAATGCTTTTTTAAAAAAATGTGTTTTTCTCCTATTATGTCACTCCTAGCCATGCTGGTACCTGTATTTACTACTTGCCTTGCCTTGCTTTGTTTCCTAGCATATACCCACAACTTTCCTCCTGCTGCCCGAGCAATTGGCCTTTCGTACGTACTGCACAGAAGTCAACCAAGAAGAACCCACAAAGCCAGCTGGTCATGAGATAGATTCACGTTACAAAGAAATGCCATGGAAATACTTGGAGAGTGAAGGTATGCATGAATAGAGGTAGAAAGGAAGAATTTCTGTAGATCTAGAGTCTGATGAAAAATACAGTTTATTTGATAGGTGTTTTTTGTGTAAATTTGGCTAGTTTTGGTTACATTATTCAATATGATTGAATAACTGGTTTACCATAGTGTGTGAAATAAGTGTTTGTGTTTACAAAATGCCTATAGCAACAAAGATTGACAATGAGATTTCTTAATATGTTACATGTACTCATACAATATGGTAGTAAAATAACAGGTAGTCTTTGACTTATAACTGGTCACTCAGTTGTGCCCTGTCCTGCTCCATGACCACATTTTGGACACTCGCCAGTTGGCATTTATAGCCTTTTACGATGTCCCAGGGTCACATGACCATGATTTATAATATATTTGCTGAAAACTGGTGTTTTTCACTTAACAGCCAGGGTATTTGTTTAAAGACTGCAGATTTATTTAATAACCATAGTGATTCACTTAATGACCACTGCAAAAAAGATAAAATTTGGTCACTCATGATGACCTGCTTTATGACCGTCACGAACTATGACTAATGGGCACTCTCCTTTACAGTTGTAAGTCAAGGACTACCTTCATAAAAAATAAAAATGAGCAAACAAACTATTATATATACATATGTTCATTTTTACTTAGTGACAGTATAATTAAAGATCACTGCAATTGTAACTTTGCCCTCACCAGAGTTAATTTCTGAGAACTCTTCAAGCTGGAATAGCAGCACTATAAATAACTGGTTCACATCTAAACCGAAACTCCTCACTTAGCCTGAGATAGGAGCCCAAATACTCGTTCTTCCAGAGAGGGAAAGAATGTGAATGAGAGAAAGGATCATTCGTGCTACCTTAATTTTCTTGAGGCAAAGGCAGGGAATCAGGTAATTTTCTTAAGGCAAAGGCAGGGAATCAGGATATGTAACATCTTATGGGAGTACAAAGCTCATTCATATAAACACACATATATATGTGTTTCCACAAAAATAGGACCCTGTCTTATATTTTTTTGAACCCCGAAATAAGCGCTTGGCCTTATTTTCGGGGAGGTCTTATTAAATATTTTCGGGGAAGGCTTATTTTCGGTGGGAGGCTTATTTTAGCGCATGCGCTCAAACACCCAATTGGGCTTGATTATCAGGGGATGTCTTATTTTGGGGGAAACAGGATATATATATAATTAAAGATATATAATTAGTTTTTAGGATGAGATAATGTGTTAAAGTAGATTGTGCACACAATACAAAACATGTTTCATTTTGAATCTGGAATGACCCATTGTCATCTGGAACCTTTTTGGGTGAGGCTCAGTGTGGGAGAAACAAAACCTGGTATCTTTTGGTTAATTCTAGGTTTTACACAAAACAAAACCCGGAAGGATCCTGAGTGATTTTATAGAATGCATTAGAATATGAATCACTGGCCAATTATCCCATGCGTGGAATAATTCATACATACTGTAGAACATTTTGCACAGTCCTACAGTATAGGTATTTTACGACCTTTCTTGCCACAGTTGTGGAGTGAATCATTGCAACTGGTAAGTTAGTAACCCAATTGAAAAGGGAATCTGGCTTCCCCATTGACTTTGCTTGTTAGAAGGTCACAAATGGTGATCACATGACCTTGGGACAGTGCAACCATCAAATGCACGTCCATTGCCAAGTGTACGGATTTTGATCACGTGACCAGCGGTTGTGTGGAAAAATAGCCATAAATCAATCTCTGCCGTTTTTACTTTGAACAGTCACTATACCAAGAGTGCCTTGGTGGCGCAGCAGACTAAAGTGCTGTTAAATAGCACCAGCTGCCTGCAATTACTGCAAGTTCAAATCTCACCAGGCTCAAGGTTGACTCAGCCTTCCATCCTTTCGAGGTAGGTAAAATGAGGACCCGGTTTGTGGGGGCAATAAACTGACTTTGTATAAAAAAGAACACCGCTTGGGGGGGGGCAAAAGCCCTACTAAGCAGGTATATACAAAAGTATGAAGGCGATTGCTTAACGCATTGTAAGCCACCCTGAGTCTCCGGAGAAGGGCAGCATATAAATCGAACCAATAAATAAAAGAGTGGTATACCTGTGGACTATCTGTGATGTGAGTGTTTTGTTTGGCTTAGGAAGCCCAGCAATTGTGAGTAAACAGTTAAATGTAGGGTTGTGTCATGTAAGAAATCCTCAGGCGGCTTCATTGCTCATGTTTACATGTTTATAAACTGAAAGCTGCTGCTGTGGAATGCTATATTCAAGAAAGATGGAGATGGACATACAGATGGTCCTGTATGAAGAGTCTGCTTTATGGGAAAAAAGTTCCACATCTGTCAGTTTTACTCATTGCAAGTTTGCTTTTCCTTTCTGGAACAATACTTAAAAGAATTTTGAGGTGGTCCCCAAACCTGTTCTGTTTCAACATATTTTCCTAGTGTCCTGGTTTGCTTTCTCTGTTTCCTAGATTGCTTTCATCTTTTCTGGGCTGGGCCTATTCATTTCTCCTTGGCTTCCTTCTAGATAAGGCTGGAAAAAGGGAAGACCTATCCCTAGTTTAAAATATGGCAAGGGATACTGCTAATCAGAAGACAGCAGAGCTCTAAGTGGGCAAGTGGTCTTGTTTAGTATAAAATAATTCCTTCCGTTGCTATAGGGTGCAAGTCACACAGCAGGAAAATGGCCTACTCTCATATGTTTCCTATTCCCTAATATCAAGGAAACTAGATATATAGGATTACCTATAAAATGGATTTAATTGGTAAACTCGAGCCGTGGTTTTTTCAGTGGTGGCCATTCCTTTCTAAATTTTTCAATGCATATAGATAAGATCACATCAGGTCTGACTATATATGAGCAACACTCCATTTCTTTATTATTGTTTCCATTAAGATACATTCATTTAATGAGCTTGAATTACTATATATTTCATATCAACAGTCTGGGGTAATACCAAAATTTATTGTTAAACAATTTGAGAGTTGGATTAGTTAGTCCTGAGAAAGAAGAAGCATAAGAAAGAAAGTTAAAATAACGTGCCTTGATTCTGTTTGGTATAAGAGGGGACAAAGGGGTCACACTGCTGGGTTTTCAAGATTTCTGTTACCATACGCTACAACTATAAAATAGCATTCCTGGAATCCTTGAGCTGTTTCCTGGCCTGACCTATTTCAAAGGGTTGACAGTGTATATGAGATGGTAACTTATTGCTGTATGTATACTGAGTACATTTGTAAAATGTTAGGTACAGGCCATCATTTTCTTTTCCTTTCCCCTTTAGAATACATAACTAAATATGGCAACAATCCCGTCTGGTTTGGATACAGGCGTAATTTCAAGGGTCAGGTTCCACCACAGAAAACCCGGAAGATGTGCATTGTGAGTACATTCTGTTTATGTAGGTGACTGAACCCAAAGAACTGAGCATAGTATTTGCTGATGCTTATAGCAATATTTTCTTTCTTTCTTTCTTTCTTTTTCTTTCTTTCTCTCTCTCTCTCCCTCCCTCCCTCCTTCCTTCCTTCCTTCATTTTCTACAAATAACTCAAGGTGGTGAGCATACTCCTTCCTAATTTCTTCACACCAACAACCCTTAGAGATGGGTTGGGCTGACAGCTGGCTTTCATGCCTAAGGCAAGACTAGAACTCACAATGTCCTGGTTTCTAGCCTGGTGTGTTCACCAAACTGGCTTTAATTTGTTAAGTAGTATAAAAAAAGTAAAAATTGTATGGACAGTTGGATAAGAGGCAGCATATTGGTAATTTGTACTTGAAAGGATATTTCAGGCTTAAGGGATCAATTGTGTGTATTTTTTATTAACTATGCAGTATTACATGGTTTGTTCCTGGAATGTGTCATCTTTTTCTCTTTGAATTGGCTAATCTGAGTATTTGAGAAGGGAGGGGCAAATTCTTATTCTAAAAATTGTAGGAGTTCCTAAGACCATTGAGTTCTTCAGTGTGAGAATACTAATCAATTTATCCTGTCTGGTTCCTGCTTGAACAAATCAGGATGAATCCATGGGGAGGCCAATTATTGTCAAACCAGCTACTTGTTGTTTCAGTGAGGCTTGTCGCAGAATGCAGAATTATGGACTTTTGTTTATAATAAGACAAACAACAATTGCATTCTGGGATAAGGACGATCAGTCTTCATCTTAGATTATGTGATATTATATAGTACAGTATTTTAACATTTTACCTTGGTCTCTTCTATGCTAAACATTTACAGTTCCTTCAATTTCTGCTCATGAGACAATTCCCAGTTTCCTACTGACCCTTGAACTTGTTCCAGGTGTCTAAATGTTTCTTAGAGTAGGGTGCCTAACATTAGGTACATTATTTTGACTTGAACCCCCCCCCTTTAGATATTTTTAATTATTAATTGATTTTAGTTGGGGTGTTTTAAATTTTATATTGGGCCAAAACTTGTTTAATTCTTTTAAAATTAATCTTAAATTTTGTATGTGATGTTTTTATTCTTGGCTGTTCCCCGCCCTGAGTCCAGTAGGAGAAGGGCGGTATAAAAATCTAAAAAATAAAATAAATAAATAAAAATAATAATAATAATTTATAGGATTTGCTTCTCCTAATTTTTTACACAATAAATTGTTTTGTTCTGTCTGTACTTACAGAGAAAAGGTCATGTCTGTGGGAATCCCTGTCCCCTCTGTAGAGATCAACATCTTTTTTTGGATTATAGGGTAAGAATTGTGAGATTTTTTTTCTTATATTTTTGTTTAAATATACCTAACTGAAAGTCCCCAGAGTAGAGATGCAAACATGTTCTATAGATGAAACAGAAAAAAGAGGCTACAAATAATATAAACAATATAAAATATAGGCAGTTCTGGAGCAGCTGGACATAAGAACTATAAGGGCAGCATTGAAATGTTAATGAAAAACAATTGCCACAGCATCCACAAGCTAACTGGATGAACTTTTAACAGGGAGTTTGAAAGACCGATGCCAGTGCAGAAACAATTCTGGTCTATCTTGCCATCAGTAGTATTCAGGCAGCAACAAAACAGTTAGGAATTCAATAAATAAAAACAGTTGCATTGGTTGTATATGCCATGTTTCCTTTTCTAACCGATGAGTAAAATTGGGCATGCCCTTTCATCTTACAGAATGTGAAGCTTCTTGAACAGTTTATCTGCCCCCACTCAAATATCATCCTTGATGCAACCCATACAGGTAACACAGCTATTGCATTTCATGCCTGCTCCATTTAATTCCCTGTCCCAGATATTCTCTTTCTCTCCCTCTCCCTCTCATTTATGTAACTATTCTTGTTCCTTCTGCTTTCCCACTACTCCATACACAATGTTATTGCTGGCCACATTTGCATTCATTTGCAGCAACCACCGTATCTTCCAAAACCTTATTTTAGAAACTGTCCCAGTTGGTTTGCTACTCTCCAAGCAGGATGCCAGGGCTTTGGAGCGACAGCATTTTAGTACATCTCAGTTCAAAACCACAGGATGTGTGTTACCACTTTTATTGTGGGAATAGATAGCACACACAATCAAGTCCCTGAATGCAAATCAGTCTAGAATTCACACAGTACCTACGTAACCTTTGGGAGATACAATGTACTTGTCCTGTTGATTTGAGCATGTGTGAACAAAGCAGGTTAGACTGAGAGGCCAGGGATTTATCAGCAGTACAGGAAGTTACTGAGTTGTTACTAAATGAGGACTATTTCAGGTACAGTTGTTGGAGGGTTTTGTGTGGTTTTTTTTTTTTTTTTTTGTCACGGTGAATTCTTATCAGGTCTTGGAAACACATTTTCTTTTGCATCACAGGTGTGTGTAGACAGAAGCATAAGGTGCTAGTCAAAGCCATTGATCAAGCTCAAGACAATGGTGAGTAGCATTAAATCGGGTCTGGAAAATAAGGCAGAGTTCAGTGGAAGGTGGCAAGTGCCTGTATGATACGTTTTGGAGCTTTCAGAGCATCAAGGGTGAGGATGGGAGTGGCTCACAGAAGGCTTGCACACCCATTTTTACTATTTCTTTACTTTCATCATACCTTTTGCCATTTTGCTACCAAATTTCAATGGCATGGTCTTAGAATGCTTTGGAGGTTATAGATAGGAATGCTACCTGTCTTCCCTCACCCATACAAAAGCCGTAAATTATCCACCCTATGCCATGGTTTATAAGCTCACTCAATTCATAGGATATGCTAAGCCAAGCCCTCCCCCAACCTTCCATTAGCTAGAAGGTTGAACCAGATCAATCATGGTCTTCTTTCTGATATGTTTTCTCTTGTGCCTCCTTTGTCAGGACTTCTACCAGTTAGCACTCCCTTGATTTCTTTCCGAGATGTGGATAGGAGCAACCAGCATCCAGCTGTTTCCAAGACTCCTCCATCCCCAGCTCTGTGTAGCAAAACATCATGGTATTCCTGGTATGACTGGCAGCAGCCTCCAGAGAAAAAAATTAAACTCTTCAGGAGGATTTACAAGGATTACCTAAAAGAAGAGAGCAACCTTTCATAAACCAAGCCCCAAAAAAGCAATTATAACATTCCCAAGGAAGCCTGTAACTGATCCTTAAAAATCCTCTATATAGTTCAGCTGTTAGAGGACTCCTGTCTATTATTTCCTCCAGAAGGACTTCTAAGTGTCAGTAAATTGAATGGGATTACTGATGATTTTGGTGATTGAACTTTATTGGAAACACCTGATTGAATGGGGAGGGGAGGAGGGGAAAGTATAGGGCAATGGTAAAACAAAAACAAAAAATACAATAAAAGCCAATTTGATGTGTGTATCTACTGTGATAGGGTTTTCATTTTACAATAAATCATTGTTTTGTTAAAATTGGCTGCTGTTAGATGGATTCATACAAAGGTTAAACAGATTTGCTCACACCACACTATGGCTTAGTACAGGGATTTCCAAACTAGAGACAATACAGAACCTTCAAGGCAATTTTCTGTGGTAGTTGTTTTGAAACCAACAAATATTTGCAATTTTAGCCATTTGTAAAAATGCTGGGTTTAATGAAGGTGTGCTAACTGTGTACATCTGTAAAAAAAAGGCCAGTAGCATGTTAGGAATAATAATTGGCGTTAAAAAAAATACCATATTTTTCAGACTATAAGATGCACTTTAGTTTTTGGGGAGGAAAATAAAAAAGCTGATTGGTGGTTGATTGGCCTCCCAGAATACCCCCAATCAGCTGTTCCCAGAGATGAACTTTAGCAACAGGTTCCTTGGTTGTGAACTCTCCGCCTTGCTTTTTTTTCAGCCTCTGAAACCTCCGTTTGAGAGGCTTTATTTCAGCCTCTCAAAGGGAGGTTTCAGAGGCTTTTTTCAGCCTCTGAAACCTCCATTTCAGAGGCTAGGCAAGGCTACATTCGGACTATAAGACGCACCCAGATTTTCACCCTCTTTTTGGGGGTAAAACAGTGCGTCTTATACTCCCAAAAATACGGTGGATGCAATTATCTTAACGCCTAAAGGTAACTCATTTGTATAATCACATTTAGAATGTTGTGCATAGTTTTCGCACTACATCTCAAAAAGGATATAGAGGAGTTAGACAAAGTTCAGAGGAAGGCAGCTGGGATGATCAAAGAGCTGGAGTGGCTTCCTGATGAGGAAAGGTTGGAGCATGTGGCCCTTTTGGTCTAGAAAGGAGTTGGATGAGATGCATTTGAAGTTTACAAAATTATGCATGATGGGAATAGACGAGAAGCTATTGCCCTTTTGACAATACTAGAATCTGCAGTCACCCAATGAGATGGACTCCTGGAAGAATCAGGACAGACTAAAAAAATATATTTTTAGCAAAAAATATTCAGCTTTGAAATTCGCTGCCACAAGATGAATTGCTAGCTTGGCTGACTCCAAAAAAAAGGATTGAACCAAATCACGTAAGTCATAGGGATGGCTGTTGTCTACATTGATGGCAGTGTGATTGCCTCTTGCAGGCCACCTGCTGGAAGACTAGTGGATTCCCTTGAATAGTTGGTTACTCCTTGTGAGAGAAAAACTGAATTACATGGGCCAGGAGTCTTAATTCAAGGATTGAATGAAATCCCTGAATATCCCAAATTCAGGATTCCAAATGAAGAATTTTATCACTTTGATGAAGATGTCATTGTGAGGTTACTGGCTTGTTTAAATATTTATAAGAGTCATAGGACCTCAGTTCAATTTAGAAATAGATTCAAAAATATGAAGGCTTCTCTAACGATCTGAAAAGTCAATAAATGCAGGGTACGTATTCTGCAAATGGTTAAAAGTCTGAAATGATCAAACAACATGCTTATGTTCTTATGAGCCTTCATCTCAGTAAAATATATCCGATCTAGTGATGATGATTTGATCTAGTTAAAAAGTACCAGCTAGAAACCAAAACTGAATTCTAGTCCTGTCTTAGCGCAAACCCAACTGAGACTTTGGGCCACTCTCAGCCCTAGGAAAAATGACAAACCTCTGATGAAAATGTTGCCAAGAAAATAAAATTGCCAGGAATCGAGACTGAATCAAAGACACCAATTTATGAATTCATTAATGTTGGTGATTTCTTACACAGGATGTTTCAATTTTAAGAAAACTATTTTAATTACATAATATATTAAGGACAAACCGAGGATGATCAGTGTATGCATTTTTCTTATACCATAGATTCAGTAACTATTCATATGCTATGAAACTATTAAACTCTTACTCAGCAGTGGAAATATGAGAATGTTGTCAGGAATTCATTTCCTTAAAAAGTCAGTAGAGAACAGGATGTTCACGAGCAATATAATCTTGCATATTTAACCATTAAATGGATGGCACTTCATTTAAACATCAGTCTTTCCCGCTGAGAACTGACTTCCTCAGTGAATATCTGACCTCTGCAATTTCTCAATACACATGTTTAACTTTGGTCATCCTGCAATTTTAGATACGTGTAAAATGAAAGCCAATTGAATCTTATAATGGGAGATAGATCAGTTAGTGTAAATGGATTGTAATGAATCCATAACTGGCTCTCTACTTTGCAACCCTCCTCAAAGTGGGCAGTAGAGCAAGATTGGTGTATCTTTATCTTTATTTGATTTGTATACCGCCCTACTCCCGAAGGATTCAGGGCGGTGAACAGCCAAACAGTAAAATACATAAATACAAAATTTAAAAACAGGATAAAATCAAATTAAACAATTTGGCCCAGACAAATTAAAACACCCCAGTCATTTAAAAACAGATTAAAATTTGCATGTTTAAAAAGAAAAGAGGGAAAAAGATTAGGCCTGCCTGGTGGAATAAAAAGGTCTTCAAAGCGCGGTGGAAGGTGCGCAGATCCGGGATCCTTCGTATCTCCGGGGGGATAGTGTAGGAGTTAAGGCACCAGGCTAGACACCAATAAAATCGTGAGCTCTAATCTTAAGACTTTTCTTGGACATGAAAAGCCAGTTGATGACTTTTCCCAAAGCTGCTTTTTTCCAAGAGGCAACTGGACTTTCCGGTTATTCTTTGAAGACATTTTTTTTTTTTAATTTGATTTATATGTCGCCCTTCTCCGGAGACTCAGGGTGGCTTACAATGCGTTAAGCAATAGCCTTCATTCTTTTGTATATTTTATACAAAGTCAGCTTATTGCCCCCACAAACTGGGTCCTCATTTCACCTACCTTAGAAAGGATGGAAGGCTGAGTCAACCTTGAGCCTTGGAGATTCGAACCAGCAGAAATTGCAGGCAGCTGTGTTAATAACAGGGTGCGTAGACCACTGTACTATCAAGGCCCATTTGCTTCTCATCCAAGAAGCTTCTTCACAGTGGCGGATTAAGGCTCACTGGTGCCCTAAGCACTGACAAATCTTGGTGCCCCGCTCCTTTGTTCATACTGTACAAACCAAGCCAAGCCATGCCAATCTTCATTGGGTTTTTTTCTTTCTTTCTCAGCTATATGGTGTCCCTTTTGGGCCTGGTGCCCTAAGCACATGCTTAGTCTGCTTAATGGTTAATACACCACTGCTTCTTCAGCTCTGGATGACTGAGGATCTCCTCAGGCATTCAGCTGAGCTCTCTCTCTCTCTCTCCCCCTCCCTCCCTCCCTCCCTCCCTCTCTGTCTCTGTGTGTCTCTCTCCCCACCAACCAGAGGTGGGTTTCAGCAGGTTCTGACCAGTTCTGAAGAACCGGTAGTGGAAATTTTGAGTACTTTGGAGAACCGGTAGTAAAAATTCTGACTGGTAGTAAAAATTCTGACCCACCCCCATTTATTCTCTGCCTCCCAAGTCCCAGCTGATCTGGAGGAAATGGGGATTTTGCAGTAACCTTCCCCTGGATTGGGGTGGGAATGGAGATTTTACAGTATCCTTCCCCTGCCACGCCCACCAAGCCACAACCACAGAACCGGTAGTAAAAATTTTTGAAACCCACCACCTCTGCCCCCAACCCACCTCACAGGGCTGTTATTGTGGGGAAAAGAGTAAGGAGCATTAGATAATAACGTTCACCCACTTGAGTTATCTGTAAAAAAAAATAATAATAATAAAGGCGGGGTAGAAACAAAAGAAAACCGGCTCGTTACCGGTACGTCGTTAAGCGGCAAAATAGAACTTTTCAATGGAACGTTGACAAGCGTTGTGGGCGTGGCTGCCCGCAGTCTGGAACGGAGAGAGATACAGAAACCGCGGGAACAAAGGAAATAAGATTCAATAAAACTTTCACTTTTAAAAAGGTGAGAAGAACGGGCGGTGTTGTCAATATTCTTTGATCGCTCAATGTATAGAATCGAGCCGCCTCATCCACACACACACACACACACACACACACACACACACACACACACATCACTGCTGCCTTCCATCCTCTTCCAGATTCCACTCGCGGCTTCCTTCGGAACCTGCCACGGATTTTAACAATCCAGCCAACGGCCGTTCCGAAGGTTCCCCGGGTTCCACGCACGTCCAGCCCGCTAACCGCCTCCGAACCCCCCGCCACCCCCAGCACACACGCGCGCTCCCGCCCTCGAGGAGAGGCGGGGAGGCGCGGTCGGCTTTAGCCGAGCTCTGGTTGCTATAGGCGAGTTTGGCGGCCCGGTTGCTAAAGGCGGAGCCGAGCTCGGCACGTCGCTCCGAGACGAGCCGGGGCTTTTTGCGTTGTTAGGCGGAAGTCCGTGGCCTAAGAAGAAGAAGAAGAAGGAGAGAGAGAGAAAGAAAGAAAGAAAAGGACCCGGATGCCGAAAGTATGGAGTTCCCTTTCGACGTGGACCTGCTCTTCGGCGAGCGGATCGCGACGGTGGATCAGCATTTGCAGCCGTCGGGCAGAAAGGGAGCCGGGCTCGCCGCCACTCACAGGTAAGGGACTAGGGAGGGATCTTGGCGGCAATGTCTGTGAGCCTCCGAGAACGCCTGGCATTCCTAGGCATTGTCCCCGGGGGATGCCCCGACTCCCGTCTCGACGGCGCGCGAGTTCCTCCGGTCTCCCTCCCCACCCCACCCGGGCCGTCTCGAGGCGGGCGGGGCCGCACAAAGAGCCCGAGCAGCTGGGCGACCTTCAGAGGCGGGGGAGGGGGGAAGAGGGGGCTTCCAATGTGTGTGTGTGTGTGTGTGGGGTCGCTCTGCGGCCGCCCCTCACTAAACAGAGGAAGGGCAGGTTAGGGTTCAGGAGGTTCATAGACTGTAACATAAGAAATTATGGGGCCCTCCTTGCCCCCTGATTTTCTGTACATCCACCCAAACACACACACACACACACACACACACACATACACACACAAACAGACCGATCTGTTGTAGAGCAAAGGTGTCAAACTGGCTAAAGGTAGAGATAGCTCATCGGTGGAAAGGGGGGTGCATTAGGTTGTGGGATTTGTGCAGTATTTTCCCACCGACCCACCCACCCACTCACCCACCCTGGTATCCCCTCCGGTGCTCCTACGCACTCATAGAAAAATAGAGATGCGTGAATGAAAGAGTGAGAATGAAAGAAAAGAAAGGATTTGGAACTGTCTCCCCGCGTGGTTTTTATTATAGCTGATGATGGATTCTGCACCGTCAAAATGATGAGTCTTAAAAGGACCGTGTTTGTGTGTGTGTGTATGCCTGTGTTTTGCCTTTTGTTGATTACTGGCTTCTGCCTGCATAAGTCCCTGCAAGGTTTCTCAGCAGGATTTCAGAAGTGGTTTGCCATTGCCGCCTTCTTCCTAGGGTTAAGAGAAAGTGACTGGCCCAAGGTCAGCCGGCTGGCTTTGTTCCTCAGGTGGAAGTAGAACTCACAGGCTTCTGGGTTCTAGATTGATGTCTTAACTGCTATGCCCACTAAGGACCACATAGATAGATCTATTTCACACCTTGTAGAGACTCCTATGTCTTAAGCCTCCAGCTCAGTTTTAACTTGATGGGTTGTATCTTTAAAGCTAAGCTAGAACCTCCTCCTCCTCTTCCACCCCAGCAAAATTTTGCAGGAGGTTGAGTAAGTGTGCCTGCGGTTCACTGCTGCTGGTAAAGGAAGAAAGATTCAGAAGTCAAAATCCTTTTTTCCCATCAGTCTCATTAAGAAATTAAGTTGGTTGGGTCTTTTGGTTATATATCAATATCTATATATGAATTCTGATTTACTGTGGCACATAAATTCAGCTCATGTGTCAGATAGGATGATCACTTGAAGCCATCTTGTGTTGAATCCAAAAGTGTGTTTAACCCCTTCTATCTGGAAGGATGAATATATGTATATATTTTTGTTGTTAGTTGCGAAGTCGTGTCCAACCCATCGTGACCCCATGGACAACGTTCCTCCAAGCTTTCCTATCCTCTACCATCCCCCAGAGATCATTTAAGCTCACGCCGACTGCTTCAGTGACTCCATCCAGCCACCTCGTTCTCTGTCGTCCCCTTCTTCTTTTGCCCTCAATCTTTCCCAGCATTAGGCTCTTCTCCAGTGAGTCCTTCCTTCTCATTAGGTGCCCAAAGTATTTGAGTTTCATCTTCAGGATCTGGCCTTCTAAAGAGCAGTCAGGGTTGATCTCCTCTAGGACTGACCGGTTTGATTGCCTTGCAGTCCAAGGGACTCGCAGGAGTCTTCTCCAGCACCATAGTTCAAAGGCCTCAGTTCTTTGGCTCTCAGCCTTTCTTATGGTCCAACTTTCACAGCCATACATTGCAACTGGGAAAACCATAGCCTTGGCTATATGCACTTTTGTTGGCAGGGTGATGTCTCTGCTTTTTAGTATGCTGTCTAGATTTGCCATAGCTTTCCTCCCCAGGAGCAAGCGTCTTTTAATTTCTTGGCTGCAGTCCCCATCTGCGGTGATCTTGGAGCCCAGGAAAATAAAATCTGTCACTACCTCCATTTCTTCCCCATCTATTTGTCAGGAATTGATAGGGCCGGATGCCATGATCTTAGTTTTCTTAATGTTGAGTTTCAAGCCAACTTTTGCACTCTCCTTCTTCACCCGCATCAAGAGGCTCTTTAGTTCCTCTTCACTTTCTGCCATTAGAGTGGTATCATCTGCATATCTGAGGTTGTTGATATTTCTCCCAGCAATATTAATTCCAACTTTTGATTCATCTAGCCCTGCCTTTCTCATGATGTGCTCTGCATATAAATTAAATAGGCAGGGTGACAGTATACAGCCTTGCTGGACTCCTTTCCCAAGTTTGAATCAATCAGTGGTTCTGTGTCCAGTTCTCACTGTTGCTTCTTGACCTGCATATAGGTTTCTCAAGAGACAAATAAGATGGTCTGGTACTCCCATCTCTTTAAGAACTTGCCACAATTTGTTATGATTCACACAATCAAAGGCTTTCCTATAGTCAATGAAGCAGAAGTAAATGTTTTTCTGGAACTCCCTAGCTTTCTCCATGATCCAGTGTATGTTGGCAATTTGATTTCTAGTTCCTCTGCCTCTTCGAAATCCTGCCTGTACTTCTGGTAGTTCTCGATCCACATTCTGCTGGAGTCTAGCTTGTAGGGTTTTAAGCATAACTTTACTACCATGTGAAATGAGTGCAATGGTGCGATAGTTTGAACATTCTTTGGCATTGCCTTTCTTTCGAATTGGAATGTAAACTGACCTTTTCCAATCCTGTGGCCACTGTTGAGTTTTCCAAATTTGCTGGCAAATTGAGTGTAGCACTTTTACTGCATTGTCTTTTAAGATTTTGAATAGCTCAGATGGAATACTGTCTCCTCCACTAGCTTTGTTGTTGTTCAGACTTCCTAAGGCCCATTTGACTTCACATTCTAGGATGTCTGACTTAAGATCAGTTACCACCCCGTGATTATCAGGGATGTTAAGCTCATTCTTGTATAGTTCTTCTGTGTAATTTTGCCATCTCTTCTTAATCTCTTCTGCCTCTGTTAGGTCCCTGCCATTTTGGTCCTTTATCATGCCCATCTTTGCATGAAACATTCCCTTCATATCTCCAATTTTCTTGAAGAGATCTCTGGTCCTCCCTATTCTATTGTTTTCTTCTATTTCTTTGCACTGTTCATTTAAGAATGCATTCTTATCTCTTCTAGCTATTCTCTGGAATTCTGCATTCAATTGGGTGTATCTTTCTCTTTCTCCCTTGCCTTTCACTTCCCTTCTTTCCTCAGCTATTTGCAAAGCTTCTTCAGACAACCGTTTTGCTTTCTTGCCTTTTTCTTTGGGATGATTTTAGTTACTACCTCTTGTACAATGTTGCGAACCTCCGTCCATAATTCTTCCGGCACTCTGTCTATCAGACCTAATTCCTTAAATCTGTTAGTTACCTCTACTGTATATTCATCAGGGGTATGATTTAGTTCATACCTGAGTGGCCTAGTGCTTTTCCCTATTTTCTTCAATTTAAGTCTAAATTTTGCAACGAGAAGCTCATGATCTGAGCTACAGTCAGCTCTTGGTCTTGTTTTTACTGACTGTATAGAGCTTCTCCATCTTTGGCTGCAGAGCACATAATCAATCTGATTTTTGTGTTGACCGTCTGGTGATGTCCATGTGTAGAGTCATCTCTTGGGTTATTGGAAAAGAGTGTTTGCTATGACCATCATATTATCTTGACAGAATTCTATCAGCCCGTGCCCTGCTTCATTTTGTACTCCAAGGCCAAACTTGCCTGTTATTCTGGTTATCTTTTGGCTTCCTACTTTAGCATTCCAATCCCCCATGATGATAAGGACATCATTTTTGGGTGTTAATTCTATAAGGTACTGTAAAGCTTCATAGAACTGGTCAATTTCATCCTCTTCAGCCCTAGTCGTTGGGGCATAGACTTGGATTACTGTGATATTGAATGGTTTGCCTTGGATTTGAACTGAGATCATTCTGTCATTTTGGGGATTGTATCCCAGTATTGCTTTTCCTACTCTTTTATTGATTATGAAGGCTACTCCATTTCTTTTGAGGGATTCTTGCCCGCAGTAATATACCTGATGATCATCTGAATTAAATTCACCCATTCCTGTCCATTTTAGTTCGCTGATTCCTAAAATGTCGATGTTCAGTCTTGTCATCTCTTGTTTGACCACATCCAGCTTGCCTTGATTCATGGATCTTACATTCCAGGTTCCTATGGAGAAAAAATATTTACAGCATTGGACTTTCCTTTCACCACCAGATACATCCACAGCTGAGCATCCTTTTGGCTTTGGCCCAGTCGCTTCATTCTTTCTGGTGCTACTAGTACTAGCCTTCTGCTCTCCCCCAGTAGCATATTGGACACCTTTCGACCTGAGGGGCTCATCTTCCAGCATCATATCTTTTTTCCTTTCGGTACTGTGCATAGGGTTTTCATGGCAAAGATATTGGAGTGGGTTGCCATTTCCTTCTCCAGTGGATCACGTTTTGTCAGAACTCTCTGCTATGACCTGTCCGTCTTGAAATTATCAGTCCTTGGTTGGTTTGTATCTGATGCATCAAATTATCCATTTTTTAAAATGTAGACAAGTATTTTGTTCTTGTTTTATTTTTGCCTTTCTAATTGTTATTCCATGTTTGTTTTACCAGAGCTGATATGCAGCAGCAACTCATGAAGATCATAGATGAGATGGGCAAAGCCTCTGCCAAGGTAGGTTAACGTTCGTTAAAGAATCAGTTATACTTTTGGAAGAAGTAAAGATAGCAGCAAACTATTGGGCTAAATTTTCTAAATAAGCTCACTGATTGAGCTAGACTACAAATCCAGTCAAATATTAGGTTGAAGGAGGCGCCATTGCCTTGCTAAATGTGATTCTGCTCATCTGGTCCAAACTTTAAGAGACAATTAACACACATATCCTTTGAACTACGAAACTGCCCCATCTGGATTCAAAAACAACTTAAAAAATAGGCAAGCTTCAAGACTTCTTTTTATTTACCAAAGTTAGCATTTTTTCCATGTGCTTAAGCCCAACTTCCTTTTTCCATTCTTTTCTATGTTTCCTTAATGACTTGTTTCCTTTTTATGTACCTCCCCCAGAGGATTTCTGGATTTTTATCTTCTCTACTTACATGCTTCCTTAATCTTTGGTTAGGGCAGTTTCAGCCTAGTTTCACAGGTACAGGACTACAGGTAGTCCTTGCCTTGCGACCACAATTGAGCCCAAAATTTATATTGCTAATGAGACAGTTTTTACGTTGAGTTTTGGCCAATTTTGCGCTCTTTCTTGTCACAGTTGTTAAGTGAATCACTGCAGTTGTTAAGTGAATATCGGTTGTTAAGTAAATCTGGCTTCCAACTTTGCTTGTCAGAAGGTTGCAGAAGGGGATCACATCACCCTGGGAAACTGCAACCATCAAAAAGATGAACTAGTTGCCAAGCATCCAAATTCTGATCATGTGACCATGGGGATGCCGCAATGGTCGTAAGTGTGAAAAATGGTCGTAAAACACTTTTTTCAGTGCCGTTGTAACTTTGAACGGGCATTAAACGAAGGGCTGTAAATTAAGGATTGCCAGCATTCTTTTTGGTTCAGAGTGCTGTGATTGGTGTACAGGTCCCAGGATACGCAGGCTAAAAGAGATGAGGAATATGGGAAGCGAAGGGTATATCTTTCTCTCTAAACCAGGGGTGTCAAACTCAATTTCACTGAGGGCCAGATCAGAGCTGTGATTGACCTGGGGGGAGGGCGTGGCCAACTGAATGGGCATGGCCAACTGGGTGGGCGTGGCCAGCTTAACGCCACTCCCCAAACTGCTGGCATGTTTCCTCTTCGCATTGGGTAGACTAGGCCGAAGTGACGCAGGCCGGCCCCTTACATTTTCCACGAAGGCCCCGTGGGCCAGGTCCGACCACATCGCAGACTGCATTCGGCCTGCGGGCCTTGTGTTTGACACCCCTGCTCTAAGCATTAGTTAAGATACCCATTGCATAATTGCATCTTCTCTTCCATCCTACTCTCTGCCATCATTTTGGTGAAACTCAAAACTCATTGATTTCAGGCCCAGAATTTGCCAACTCCAATCACCAGTGCCTTAAGGATGCAAACCAACCGCCATGTGCTCTACATCCTGAAAGACAGTGAAGCAAAAATGTGAGTCTCATAGCAAAAAGAATTTGGATTGTATATACAGTCTGCCTGTTTGGAAGTAACGTTTGCCTTAGTTCGAAAGGATTGATTTCCAGATAAACGCCTAGGGCAGAGCTTTTCAAATTGTGGGTCAGGGGACTCCTAAGCAACTTTGAGTAGTGAAACAGGGTTTTGTTTTGTTTTTTTGAGAAAATCTGGCCAGGCTTCTTCATCTTCATTTAATGACCCCACCATGTGGGCTGGAGTCTGGGCAACTGAATGCAGCTAGCAGAGTGTTTTAATGGCTGGATGCCTTTCCTGTCGCCAATGTGGCGTTTTGTTCAGCAGATATATTCTTAGTGTGCCCAGAGAGAGAAATATCTGCCTCTACCTAGGATCGAACTCACAGCCTCCTGATTGTTGAGGCGACAATCAGGCCACTGTACTACTCCAAAATCTGGTCAGGCTTAGGAAGACAAAACGGAAATGTTTTCAAAACTCACTCTTGCTTCCGCTCATTTTGCTTGTAGAAGCTCACAGTGGGTAGAATCCTCTCTGGTATGTAGCTTAAATTCACATGAATTCATTTATCATTTTAAGGGTGGAAAGTACTGCAGGAAGCACTGGCACATAGAGTTGCATTGCAGCCAAAGGCTGCTTTTGTGAAGGGATCCCCTACTACATATATAATCCTGGTTTCTTGAATGTTTTTTGTCATCCCTGGAGTGAAGCTTGATATTGCAAAGAGTACTGGTGTACAGAGTTGCATTGCAGCTTCTCCAAAAAACCTTTGTTCAGCCGCAGTGGGACTCTTTATGTCAGTGCCCCTTGCAGTATCGTTCTTCCTTTTTGCTATAGCTAACACCAAAACTGGTGTTGTCACTATCCTTTTTTTTTTTTTAATTTGATTTATATGCCGCCCTTCTCCAGAGACTCAGGGCGGTTTACAGTGCGTTAAGCAATAGCCTTCATACTTTTGTATATTTTATACAAAGTCAGCTTATTGCCCCCACAAACTGGGTCCTCAATTTACCTACCTTAGAAAGGATGGAAGGCTGAGCCAACCTTGAGCCTGGCAAGATTCGAACTTACTTTAATTGCAGACAGCTGGTGTTAAATTACAGTGCCTTTGTCTGCAGAGCTATCCAGGCTCTTTGTGTTAGGATCAATCTTTGGTCAAGTTTAACCTAATTTATCAGATCTAGATTATCCTATTCCTATTCCTATTCCTATTCCTATTCTTTTCCTATTCCTATTCCTATTCCTATTCCTATTCCTATTCCGTTCTGTTCTGTTCTAAATATTTGCTGAATATTTACCACTTTTAATCCTTCCCTGAAGAAAACCTCACTTTTTGTAAGATGGGCAGCTATATAAATTTGATTGATAAATAAATAAAATAAAGCTTTTTTATCTTCTTCTTTTACTGATTTCAGGGCTGGCAAAGGGGTTATAATTGGTTTCCTCAAAGTTGGTTACAAAAAACTCTTTGTATTGGTAAGTACACTGGAAAAATCACCCTTGATACATGGAATTTTTGCCACTAGTGGAAAAGTGTGCTTGGTTCCCAAACAGGATCAGTTCAAGTTCTGATCAGGAAGTTAGGCGAGATCTCCAAGATCTCTTCCATCCCTTTGATCCAAGAAGTTTTAAATTATACTGATATATTTCCACCCTGGTGTATTTGAGTCATATTCTCAAAGTATAAATTCTCTATTGCAAGGCACGTGGCTCCCTGCCACTCACAATATTTTTTTTAAGCTTGGTGAAAGCTGAAAAGAAGTCTGATAAAGTTAATAGTTGGTTGTGATGCACTATTTGTTAGTCACATCAACAAGATTGTGATTTTGGAGTTGCCCCCTTTGGTCACAAATGAAGAAAAAAAAAAGATTGAAAACATCACTTGTGGACTCTTGAGTTCATCATCATTGCCATGTTTTTTACAAACATGCTGAATGCCCTCTTGTAAAGTAGAGAAAGAAAGATGGCTTAGGGGCTCAGGGACAGAGCTTCATTCATTGAGCTATTGCTTCCTGTTATGCTCAAACTAATCCCAACAATAAGAAAATCAAATGACGCATTTTGGTGAATACTGTAGCGTTTGTTTGAAATCAGCAAAGGGCAGCTGAAATGCTTTTTAAAAAATGAACCATACAGTACGTTAGGTAGTCATTCTTGTACTGATTCTGATTCAATACAATTTCAGTTTTGCTATTTAGCCTAATTTGGTATGGAGAGGTCGTAAAAACACAGCTGCAGTTATTGTTTGTGCTCTAACTTGAGGCACGGAAGGGGAAACAATCCTTTTCCTGATTTCTTGTTCGCAGAATAAATCCCCTAAACCCCCCCCTTAACAATCTTCTATTTGTGCGAAATGAAAAATTTTATGAGTGGCACTCATGAGTGGTATTGTTTGCTTTTGAACAAGGCTTTCACAATTTATATCCTCAGGGTGCTTCATCGTTAGATTTTTGCACTGTATTCTGCTTACCATAGCTGCTATGGATTCTTAATATATAAATTAAGCTGCTTTATTTCAGTATTTGGAAATAGAACAGTACTGCCTTTGGTTTTATTGTACCTCTGATTGTGGTATTATTATCTACGTATTTAGAAAGGGTAAATTTAGTAATGCCCAATTGCCAAAGGTTATTAAGAATATCCCCAAGAAAAAGCTTTAAAATGACTTTGCGAGGGCAGAGGCAATGACCCTGGGAAACTCTAACTGGTGAGTTGAAGCAGAATAAAATGGCAGCTCACCAGACCTAATGCTCTTTAACGCTAACCAGCATGTAAATTACTGATTTGACCAGACAGTACAAAGATGGATTCAAATTGGAGGTTCTTTTAGTTTACTTTATTGTCATTGCACCTCATATAATGAAATTAATGCCATCTTCAGTGTACATTATAACTATAAAAATAAAACACAAACACACATCCTTCACATTCTATACAATTGAATTGAAACCCCCTGATATTGCATTAATATTGCACTATACATTAGAATTCAATATAGTTACTGCTCTGTTTTTCAGCCTATTTGTCCTTGTTTTTATTGTCCTGTACCGTCTGCCAGATGGTAATAGCTCAAAAAAAGGGTGCCCAGGATGAGATGGATCTTTAATTAATTAATTTATTTATTTATTAGTTCAATTTATATGCCGCCCTCCTCCGACGACTCAGGGCGGCTTACAATGCACTTATAGCAATAGCCTTCATTCTTTTGTATATACCTGCTTATTAGGGCTTTTTGCCCCCCCCCCATAAGCGGTGTTTCTACAAAGTCAGCGTATTGCCCCCACAATCCGGGTCCTCAATTTACCTACTTCGGAAGGATGGAAGGCTGAGTCAACCTTGAGCCTGGTGAGATTTGAACTCGCACTAATTGCAGGCAGCTGGCAGCTAAGTGCTACATAGCAGCACTTAGTCCGCTGCACCACCAACGCTCTTTAAGAATGTTTTGAACTTTCTTAAGGCAGCGGGAGCTATAAAACTCTTCCAAAGAGGGGAGAGGGCAACCAATGATCCTCTGGACAATGACATTAACCCTCTGGAGTGCTGTCCTATCTGCTACTCTGCAATTGGCTAATCATACACAGGTGCAGTAAGTTAAAATACTCTCTATGGTGCAGCGGTAGAAGGCCACCAGCAGTTTTTCATTCAGTTGTTGTTTCCTGAGAAGTCTCAGGTAGTATAATCTCTGTTGGGCCCTTTTGACCAGTGCTGCAATGTGAGCGCCTCAGGTCAGGTCCTCTTTTATGATAACGCCCAGAAACTTAAAACTGGCCACTTGCTCCACTTGGTCTCCATTGACAAACAAGGGCTGGGCTTTTGAAAAGTGCAGGAAAAGTTAGCCTGCAGCAGAATTCCTGGTTCAGAGAGATCCGAGCCGTTTTAACATGGAAACCTGTCTGGTTTTTTTTTTCAGGACCGTCAAGGGGCTCACAATGAAGTGGAACCACTGTGTGTGCTGGATTTCTACATTCATGAATCTCTTCAGCGGCATGGCTATGGCAAGGAGCTCTTCCATTACATGCTGCAGGTGCAGCCTTCTTTTTCGGAGTTGCGTAATCCAAGAAATAATATCCTGACTTGGATTAGGCCACTGTATTTCATCGTTATCACTTGCTTCATAGGAAAGGCAAAACCTCCCCATAGCAAATTAAACCTGCAGAACTGAGGCGTGGACATAGAGCTGTCATAATCCAGGAATGATTTGAAAGATTTCTGAAATTCTAAAGCTCTGTCAAACAAGAATTAACAGGGTTCCAGTAGCGTATTCCTTAGCTTGCTGCCTTCCAGATCTGCAGGAAATACAAATCTCATAATTTATGTGATGGCTGGGAATTTGGGGAGTTGAAATTCCAATGCATCTGGAAGTCCCAAAGTTGGAAGAAACTCTTTAATAGGAAATGAATTCTTCAACTAGCCAGGTTGAAGGACATGAGACTGAGGAAAGCTTTGTACAGCACAGGGACTCCATTTTGAATAAAAATTTGCTTCATAGCGTAGCTCTTTTTGTCAAGATGCATTTTTACTATTCTTTAAATAGTGGCTACTATGATATTTTTTTTACTTTTATTTGGGATGGAAATTGATTTTAGGAAGGTTAATAAAGAGTGTCTCGTACCTGGACATTGTACATTTTAATACAAGTAGTCCTCGGCTAACAATCATTTGTTTAGTGACTGTTTGAAGTTATAGTTGCATTGAAAAAAGTGACTTATGGCTGTTTTTCACATTGCAGCATCACCATAGTCACATGATCAAAATTTGGATGCTTGGCAATTGGCATGTATTTATGACGGTTGCAGTGTCCTGGGGACATGTGATCACTTTTCGTGAACTGCTGATAAGCAAAGTCAACGGAAAAGCCACATTCACTTAATTGTGTTACTAACAACAACTGCAGTGATTCGCTTAACAAGTGTGGCCAATAAGGTCATAAAACGGGGCAAAACTCATTTAACATAATTTGTCTTGCTTAGCAATGGAAATTTTGGGCTCAATTGTGAGCGTAAGTCAAGGACTACCTGTAAATAAAAATTTCAAAACAAGGAAATTAAGAACCTCGGATATCTTAGAGCCATTGTCTGATTATTTCTTTCTGAGGTGAAATTGTTAGATAGAAATAACTGCCTTTGGTCTGAGAAGAAAACAGCCCGCAAAGCTAAGACTCCGTTGCTTCCCCCACCCCTCTTTTCAGGTCAGATGTAAACTGGTCCAATCGTGAAAGATAAAATAATAATATCTGTCTCTAAATCTTATTTTCCCCCTGAGAAGTAAATTGCAGAGAAATTCTTTCTGTTTTTATTCACTCAGCGAGAACGAGTAGAACCCTATCAATTGGCAATCGACCGGCCATCGGAAAAACTTCTGTGCTTCCTACGTAAACATTATAACCTCAGTGACATAATCCCCCAGGTGAGCCGTCTTCTTGAAAACAAAGCCAGCTATCACCTAATAGTACTGTTTTGTCATCTCTGTGTTTGTACTTTGTCTTCCTTTTGAACCAGAACCAGGAAAACATAGAGCTGGGACATTCTGCTTACAAAAAAATACAAATCCTCCATGCTTAAGTGGATATGTGCAATTTTTGTAATGCTGGTTTTCCACATTTTAAAAACCATGACATGAGCTGTGGAAAAAAGCTTTGACTTTTACTGGTTAATAACTTAATAAGGGACAATGAAAATACTATTGCTACTGATTTTTCAGTTAACTATTTTAAAGAGAGTTGCCATACAGTTTAATTGAACACATTATGTAGAAATGGCCTGAATCAAATGTTTGAAGGAGGCGAACCTCGATTTAAGAATTTCGTATTTTAATTACCATTTGAAAAATGTAAAAGGCTGTCCTGTGGCCTGCCAAGGCTTTTACAACACATACGCTGAGAATTTAACCTGGCATCTTCTGCATGCAGAGCATACGGCCTATCTCTGAACTCTGTCCTTTTCCCTAGGAAATAGGGATGTTTCCTAGGGAAAAACTAGATGTTTTTCCATCTAGTGAGGAGAAGCAAATCTTCAAATTAACGACAGGAAAAAAAATTGGTGCAATTGCTGCTTCAAAGGACATTTGCAGTGGACAGTGGGATCAGATTGGTTGATTTAATGCTTTTATTTTATTTTTTTCTGTTTCAGGTGAATAATTTTGTAATTTTCCATGGCTTTTTCAGCCACCAGCATGGTGAGTCACTGATATAAATATCTAGCTATACCCATTTGAAGTTGTCTGATCCAGTACAAAGTGTTTTAAACAGGGAGATTTCTGATTTCAGAGTTATGAAGATATACTGCAACAGCTGTTGGCTGTGTGGCCTAGGAAGGTTGAAAGCCGATACCCAATACATTTGCAGGGCACTGGATTGGGAGAAATTGGATTACATCGCTATCTTATAAACAGTCTATACTATGTAACAAATAAATAGATCTTCTGGAGTTCCAAGATATGGAGCGCTTGAGAAAGTTGAGAAGGTACATGTGGTCTCAATTTATGACTGGTCACTTAGCAGGCATTCAGAGTTACGACCTATCTGGAAAAGGGGACTTAGAATAGAATAACAGAGTTGGAAGGGACCTTGGAGGTCTTCTAGTCCAACCCCTTGTTCAGCCAGGAAACCCTATACTATTTCAGATAAATGGCTGTCCAATCTCTTCTTAAAAATTTCCAGTGGTGGAGAATTCACAACTTCTGGAGGCAAGTCATTCCATTGATTAATTGTTTTGTCAGGAAATTTCTCCTTAGTTCTAAGTTGCTTCTCTCCTTGATTAGTTTCCACCCATTGCTTCTTTGTCCTGCCTTCAGGTGCTTTGGAGAATAGTTTGGCTCCCTCTTCTTTGTGGCAACCCCTGAGATATCAGAACACTGCTATCATGTCTCCCCTCTTCCTTCTTTTCATTAAACTAGGCATACCCAATTCCACCAACCGTTCTTTATATGTTTTAACCTCCAGTCCTCTAATCATCTTTGTTGCTGTACTTACCATACAGATCCATAGTTTCCTCGGTCAGCCCCTCCCCCCACTTCACAGTCATGTGACCAGATTTTGAGTACTGGGTTACACAGCTGCTTTTACGGCTGTTTGCTGCATCCCACAGTCACATGATCAAATTATTTTACAACCATTACTACTTAATGGGCAGACTCCATTACGGCTGTAATTTGGGGACTACCTGAGGTACGAATAGAATAGAATAGAATAGAATAGAATAGAATAGAATAGAATAGAATAGAATAGAATAGAATAGAATAGAATAGAATAGAATAGAATAATAGAACAGAACAGAACAGAACAGAACAGAACAGAACAGAACAGAACAGAACAGAACAGAACAGAACAGAACAGAACAGAACAGAACAGAACAGAACAGAACAAAACAAAACAACAGAGTTGGAAGGGGCCTTGGAGGTCTTCTAGTCCAACCTCCTGCTTAGGCAGGAAACCCTACACCACTTCAGACAAATAAACAAAATTTATTTCTGTTGCTGCATTAAGATTTTCTCTTGAACTCTGATTTTGCAGCTGTTGGTTCTACTATAGTGAGAGTGCAAATATACTGCTCGTGAAGAATTAAATGTAGCAGAAGATTCCAGTTTATCTGCCATATTCCTGTTTTCAATGAGATAGTATAATCTTTAATTTTTTTTGTATGAGCAGATGACCATGGGAGTTTATTAGGTTCAGAATAGGGAAACCACGAATGATTTAAGCTGACACCAATAATGAATGGTTACTCAAAATTAAATCTAAAATAGTAGTTAATTTCTTCTGTAGATCATGAATATCCTGCATTCATTTCATAGCTTTTATTTAATCATATAGTACTCATTCTTTGAAGGCAAATCTTTAAGGCATTCTTTAAAGGCAAATAAGAATATGATTTAAATAAGCATCTGGTAGGTGACATTATAATGTCATACACATGATGTCACCACATTAAGGATATAATTGTGTGCATGGTGCAAATTATATAATGTTGTTTGCGTAATAATACGATGATACATGTTATTAGTAAGAATGGACCAATTGTATCTTAAAACATTATGTCGTGTTCTCCCAGTCTTTGCTCAGCATAATCTTATGTGAAAATATCATTTTGGATTTAAAACCTGAAAACAAATGGACAAATACATCAACCAATCAGAGGAATACCTATGGGAACACTACTCTGAGGACTCCTAGCAGAGACTGTAATGCAGCATTTAGATGCTATAACAGTCCCACAAGTACAACTAGAGGTATGGATACAGTTCTGTATGTAGACAACACCTTTGTCAAAATAAAAAGAACAACTAGAGAAGACCACGTAAAACAACATCTTTAAAGGAATCAAAATCACCAGAGAAGAAGACGACAAGAACACACTATCCTTTCTAGATATCCTCATGAACATAAAAAGCAACGGCAAGTTAGAAACGCGTGTCTATTGAAAAACAATCCACACTAACCAAGTGCTCCATTATCAAAGTAACAACCCAGCTTCCCACAAGAGAGCTGGGTAAGAACATTATTTTAGATGAGTACAAATGCATTGCGGTAGCCCAGAATGCCAGAAAAAGGAATCGGACCTCTATCTACACAACATCTTCCAAAAAACTACATAACCGTGCAACTATCAAAAAGTGCCTCACCGCTCAACCCGCTACAACGCAAGCTATGAAAAGAGTAACACTGTCATAGTCAAAAACATCTCAAAACAACCAACAGACTATTACAACCGCATAGTATCACTGTATCCTCTAGAACAGGGGTGCCCAACCTTTGGGGCTCCGGGGAGATAGGGGGAGGGGATGGTTTCGCACACACAATCTAATCCTTCGTCTGTGCAAATAAGGTTTCACCGCTCGTCCACCGCTTACTTGGCCCAGTTCCCAATGGACTGTGGCCCGGTATCAGTCTGTGGTCCGGGGGGTTGGGGACCCCTGCTCTAGAATTTGTCTTTCCCCTTTTGATAAATAATCAAAAATAGCGCAAGGCAAAAGCAATTATAAGAAGTATTTTATATTCTTTCTACCTCATCCTCAGAAATTCTCTTGTCAATTAGCTTTAGGCTTTCTGTGCTTAAATAAATTTTTGATATCCAGCAATGTTGCAGTAGATAAATTAAATATACTGTAGTTGGTCAGGGCCAATCCTTGACTTAATGACAATATGGTTCCTGCAGTTTGTGGAATGAATTACCTAGCTTGATGGAAATCTTTTAACAACTGTAACATTGTTTCTGCTCTTTCACTCAGCTGTTCATAAGTAATCATCACACTGTAATTTTAGACTAATTTATTAGGATTTGTCTTCTCACACCTCCATATAACTTTAAATGGCCATACTTCACAATGTGATTTTTGAAGCATATTGCCTCATAAGAATGGAAACGAATATTACTGGAGGTATTTTGGGTATTACTTTTCTACCACAACCAAATGCTCATTTGTTTTATTTACCCTCTTGTTGCAGCTCCAGCGAGAAAACTGCCCCCAAAGCGCTCTGAGGGAGACATAAAACCATATTCGCTGTCAGATCGAGAATGTAAGCAGTGTTCATTCTTCACAGAAAAACTAGCTCGAGCTTTTTGAGACAATTCAGGAGAATCAGTGACTAAACTGAGCTGATGTCTAGATTACAGCTTTATGGAAATGGTTCCTGTTTGGTTGTCTTCTCCCATTTTAGCACCCTATTTGGTCTGCTTTTGGGAGGTAGGGGCCCACTGAGTTCATAAGACGGAAGCCTACATGTGTGATTTTGTAAGGAGCCAGATAAAAACAAAGATAAAATAGTTTAAAAAATCATTCCTATCACCCATCTCCTTCCACTAATGACTGTATAACTGTAACTTTGTTGCTGGTATCCTTATGATTTATATTGACTGTTTCCTAATAAGATTTGATTGCTTATTTGTACCTTATGACTATCATTAAGTGTTGTACCTTATGATACTTGATGAACGTATCTTTTCTTTTATGTACACTGAGAGTGTATGCACCAAAGACAAATTCCTTGTGTGTCCAATCACACTTGGCCAATAAAATTCTATTCTATTCTATTCTAAAAGTTAAAAGGTAGGGAGAGGGGCATCAAGATGCCAACCACCCCCAGGGTTGCATGCTGTTCACTGTGTCCCGTATGAGTTGGCAGAGCCAGGTCTTCAAACTCCTTTGAAAGACCAGGAGAGTGGGGGCCCACCTCACTTCTGGAGAAAGAATGTTCCATAGGGCCAGGACAATGGCAGAGAAGGCTTCCTTCCTGGACCCCTCCAGTGAAAATTCTTCAACTGACAGAGTCTATAACAAACCCTCTCTGTCTGAGCAGGTGGGATGGCTGACATAATGGGGATGAGATGTTTCCTCAGGTAGCCTGGCCCCATGTCCTGTAGTGTTTGAAGGTAATAACACCTGGAATTGGACCTGGAAGTAAACCAGCACCCAGTGCAGCTTAAGTAGCAAAAGTGTTGTATCCGCCATCTTTGGGGTGCCCAAAATTGCTTGCACATCCGCATTCTGGTTCCGTTAGATGAACTGATCTAGATTGGGATGGGAACAGTATTCAGTGTCCAAGAAAAATCTAAAGCTTCTTCCAGTCAGGAAGAGTCTAAATCTTATACTTTGATTCTGCAGGAATCAGAGGAATCTGAATTGGCATTTTCTAGGAAGAGTTCTTGTATGAAAACTAAATTTGAAGATTCTGGCTCGGTGGCTAAGATGCTGAGCTTGTCTATCAAAAGGTCGGCAGTTCAGCGGTTCGAATCCCTAGTGCCGCGTAATGGGGTGAGCTCCCATTACTTTTCCCAGCTTCTGCCAACCTAGCAGTTCGAAAGCATGTAAAAAATGCAAGTAGAAAAAGAGGGATCACCTTTGGTGGGAAGGTAACAGCTCTCCGTGTACCTTTGGTGTTTAGTCATGCTGGCCACATGACCACAGAGACGTCTTCAGACAGCACTGGCTCTTAGGCTTTGAAACGGAGATGAGTACTGCCCCCTAGAGTCGGGAACAACTGGCACATATGTGCGAGGGGAACCTTTACCTTACCTAGACTTCATTATCAACTTTAATGTGCCAGCTTCATGTTCTCATTATGTTAAGATGAGAAAAAGTGGAGCAGAGGGAAAGGGATTTTTCAACTTATTCTTAAGTCAGTTCCTTTTAGGAAGGCAGCCTTCCAGTAGTGAAGAAAAGCAGGCTGAGTTCTTTAGGCCTCTTTTGCGGATGATCTGGGCCTGGAAGCAAAAATCTGGAAAATAAAGATTGTTATGGATGATTTCTGTGTATTAATTAAACAGTAAGACTGGTAAGATTAGACTAGTAGACAGATTTCTTTATTATTCACCTATAGACAGAATCTTGCCAGACTAAATCAACTATCTGCATAACTATTAGATACACTCTGTGAACTGCTAGAGAGGCTCTGCCTTCACCCTTTTCCTGTCTACCAGACAGTCCAAACTCTGTTGTCTCTTTGTCCTCTGGGAAAGAGCCCTTCCCTCTTTTCTACCATAACTAATTAGACCATAGACAGTAAGATTTAGATTAGCAGACAGATTCATCTTCTGTCTACTGGGTTATGTTAAGTTGGCTAAGTGTAAGCCGGCTTAGGCAGTAATCTTATTTCTGTAAATTTCTGTCTGCTCCTCTTCTGTCTGCTAGATCAGGGGTCACCAACCTTTCAGACTTCAGGGACCACTAAATTCATAATTTTAAATTCCGCGGACCACTAATATGCATTTTTAAAAAAGATAAAACAGGCAACCATAATAGGGCCTGGTGGCTCAGCAGACTAAAGCACTGTTATTAACTGTTATTAATATCAAGCTGTCTGCAATTACTGTAAGTTCAAATCTCACCAGGCTCAAGGTTGACTCAGCCTTCCATCCTTTCTAAGGTAGGAAAAATGAGGACCCAGATTGTGGGGGCAATAAGCTGACTTTGTATAAAATATACAAAAGTATGAAGGCTATTACTTAACGCATTGTAAGCTGCCCTGAGTCTCTGGAGAAGGGCGGCATATAAATCAAATTAAAAAAAAAACAAAACCATAATCATAAGGGGGCTGAAATAAGTTCCTTATGAGGAATTCTTTTTATTTACAATACTGGAAGTTGAGGTCACGTGAAATATTTCGCCCAATGCATACATAAACTCTGGAATTTCCTGCCATCAGATAGAGTCCCAATTTAGACTTAAAAAGAGACCAGGCTATTTATTACCAGTTCTCAATTTGTGGGCCAGAGATGATGATGCTCCACAAAGATACTCTAGCTCAGGGGTCACTAACCTTTCAGACCTCAGGGACCACTAAATTTATAATTTTAAATCCCGCGGACCACTGATATGCATTTTTTTAAAAAAGATAAATAGTATTTAGTGCAATATTAAAAAATGCAAATAATTTTTCTGCGGACCACCAAAATTTTCTTGTGGACCACGGGTGACCGCAGCTAGGTTATATTACATCTGGTTAAGAACTGAATTGTATTTTCTCTTTTGTTTGTTTCCTTTTTCTTGTAGTCTTGAAGGAAGAAACTGAGCCACCTTGGCCCTTCAATCAGTCTCGGGCACTGACCCGCTCTAGCAGTGTGGGAAATTCTCCAGTGCGAGGCTGCCTCAAACCTTTTCTCAACGAGCAAGAGTTGCTGAAGAACTTGCGTCTCTGTCCCCCACATGCAGCTGCCCAACACCTGATCAATGGTGATCCGGGCAACTTGCTTTCACAGAGGCGGAGAACCAGGTAGGAAGGGAGAGGCATTTTGGAACTTTCTGGCTTGCTCACAGGGCTAATGGGATGTTGCAACCCTGATCCTGTAGTAGACACCTAAATGCTATGAACGTGGGCTGTTCTTTGCTCCTTTTGCTTCCAGTCACATACAGAAATCCTTCAACTCTAACTTAGAAGCACAAGGAGGAAGGATGAACTTTTGGTTGCCAAGCAACACTTGAATTATCCTTCTGATTCAGTTTCTTCTTATTGCCTAATATTATCCCTACTGTTGCCTACTAATCATAAAGTTGCTTCCTCTCCTGAAATCACATGATCACAGCTTGATTGCTTAGGTCAGCAGTCTCCAACCTTTCCGGCTTTGCGGATGGTGCGGGGAGGAGAGGGGATTGTTCGGTATGAGTGAGGGACAAGCACACATGCGCAACTCCATTTGCATGAGCGGTGGGCACACCCACCTGCCACTCGGGCAAATGGAGCTGAGCATGTGCGCACACGCTCACCCACTGCTTGCACAAAGTAGAGATATGCATGTGCTTGCCCGCCACTTCTGCGGCCCAGTTCCAAACAGGCCGCAGCCCAGTAGTGGGACGCAGTCCTGGAGTTGGGGACCCCTGGCTTAGATAGTCCTGTGAACCAGGATGGCAGCAAAGATAATGGAGGTCCCATAGAGAATCTTTGGCTTAAAAGAAGTGGAATCAAATGCCACAGAATCTCAGATCTCTCCATTTTCATTTTCTTTTCCAATGTTCTAAAATTGTTTAGCTGAAGCAAAAAAAGGGAATATACGTTGACTTGTTCAATAAGTGTAACTTTGAACACAGAATTCGGACTCATCGTTTTCCCTCCTGTACATCTTCTAGCTGTCCATGTTGCATTGCATGTGCCATTTTGCATGTTTTAGTATAATTCTTAACCGATATTAAAAACTTTCTGTCAGACTTGCCACCACTTAAACCGCTAAATAGAAACGATCCTTGGCTCCATTTGTGGAGAAAGGTATAGTTTTATTACCATAAAAGTCAAGTGTATTGCGGTAATGCAAAGGCAGAAGAGAATATCGCACACCAAAATCCCTACGTTCAATTATTTCCTTCCTTAGCTATTTTCCATTGCCCACCCCAGTATAACCAATCCGGTTCAGGCAAGATGTTTACCGTATTTTTCGGAGTATAAGACGCACCTGAGTATAAGACTCACCTACCTTTTTTGGTGAGGAAAAGAAGAAAAAAAAATCTCCCTCTGCCTTTAAGTAATTTTGCCTCGTTGCAGCAAACAGCCTACTTTACTTTCAGTTTCGTTTTCAGCATAGCTTGATTAGCACAAGGGGAAAAAAAATCTGCTCCAGCAATTTACCTCTTTGCAGCAAGCAGCAGAGCCCTGCACAAAACAGCTGAGAGCAAATCAGCTGAGAGTCAGGAGGCCGATCCAATCAACTTGTGCTAATTAGGCTGTGCTGAAGCTGAAACGAGCTGTTTTTTCTTGCTGTTTGCTTGCAAGGAGGTAACTGCTGCGAGGCAGAGACCAAAGGGTGGGGGCCAGTGGGTGGGCAGGGTTACATTCGGTGTATAAGACACAGCTAAATTTTCACCCCCTTTTAGTGGGGAAAAAGGTGCGTTTTATACTCTGAAAAATACGGTACTTAACGGCCAATCCAAGCATATGTGGCCCCTTCCTTCTTCCCGCTGGGTGACCTTGAGGCAGCATCTGGAGGAAATACAGCATTTTACTTTCGTTTTCCCCCAAGCCTTCCTCCTTTCATTCCCCCTCCCCATACTTCATGGCAGTCTCTCCCCATATAGCAGCAAAGCACAAGCAAGAAGAAGGTGGCAGCTGACACTTTCCTTTACTGTTTACATTCTGTCCTCGGTGGCTGTTAATGATTTACTTAACCATGTGAAGACAGTGAAGGCTGAATGCCAACACTTTCACTTGAAAATATTCCAAGGATTTTTTAAAACAGAGATTTAGAAGGCTGGATCGGCAGTGAGCATGCAGTGGCATGTTGTGATGGCTTTGATGCTGGGAAGAAGCATGTTAGATGATGGAAAGCAAGATGTGGAAGGAGCTTTAGGAGAAATACTTTCACCAAAATCCAAGTTGCCATCCTTCAGAAGTGTTAAGGCTACCATTTTCATAATCCTCAGCCATAGGGACATTTAGCTGGCTGAGAATGATGGGACATGTCAGCCCATGTTTTTGGAGGATACTAAATTGAAAATAATATTTTCTTGTCACATTTGTTAAATTCCAGAATTAGAAATTACTCCTACATTTGTCTAATATGCAATACCAGCTTGAAACCTGGCCTTTTTGGTGACCCAGATTTATTAATCTGGTTAAACAAAACCTATTTTACATTCTGACCTAAATCTGCTTCCACGTAATTTTGTGTTGTTAGTGCAGTTGCTTCTGTTGACTTCATTCACACATTGCTCATGGCTTAAGGTTGGCTTATTGAATAAATTATAATTGGCTGTGTTTACACAACACACTGAGCTGTAATCAAGCAAACCTCTGAACACAATGTATGAATCCTGATATTTTCTTCCCATTTTCGGTCTTTATTATTGCTTCTGTAAATTGCCATATAAATGATAGTGCTTCAAGAATAGAGTAGGCAAAAATAAATAAAATTACTGATCCAAGAAATGACAACCAAGTAATTAACTCTTTTTGTGACCGTTGCTATCACTAAAGTACAGGTAGTCCTTGACTTATGACTGGTTATCTAGTTACCATTTGGAGTTACGACAACCTTGGAAAGACTGCTAGACAGTGCATAGATTACTTTTGGCTGCTGTAAAATGTCACGCCCACCCCCACTGTCAAGTGATCGCATTTCTGGTGCTTGGCAGCTGTCTCACATTTACAACTGTTTGCATGTGACCACAACTTGGAAAAAAATTTTTGCTGGAAAAGTGCCCATTCAGAAGAATGGACTTGGACTTAACAACGTGATTCATTTAACGACCACAACAAAAACAGTTGTAATATTGGATTGGCCTCGATTTTGGGTGGACACGTGGGTGCCGCCTTGACTTACGACCAAAATTCCTGTCCCAATTGTGGTCGTATGTTGAGGACTACATGTGTAGTAATACTCCAGCATCAAGAGTATACAGGTAGTCCTCGACTTAAGACCACAATTGAGCCCAAAATTTCTGTTGCTAAGTGAGACAATTGTTAAGTCAGTTTTGCCCCATTTTAAGACCTTCCTTGCCACAGTTGTTAAATGAACCACTGCCGTTGTTAAGTTAGTAACACGGCGGTTAGGTGAATCTGGCTTCACCATTGACTTTGCTTGTCAGAAGTTCACAAAAACTGATCACATGACCCTGGGACATTGCAACCGTCATAAATACGAGTCAGTTGCCAAGCATCTGAATTTTGATAACATGATCGTGGGGATGCTCCAATAGTTGTAAGTGTGAAAAACGGTCGTAAGTCCCTTTTTCCACTGCCATAACTTTAAACGGACACTAAATGACTAGCACTTAGACTTATATACCACTTCACAGTGCTTTACCACCCTCTCTAAGCAGTTTACAGAGTTAGCCTATTGTCCCCAACAATCTGGGTCCTCATTTACCCATCTCGAAAGGATGGAAGGCTGAATCAATCTTGAGCCTGTTGAGATTTGAATTCCCAAATTGCAGTCAGCCAGCAGTCAGCAGAAGTAGCCTGCAGTACTGCATTCTAACCACTGCGCCACCCCAACTCATGGTTGTAAGTTGAGGACTATCTGTAATGATTCTGTAATTTACAGGTAGTGTCATTGTTCCCAACAGAGAAATGATTATTATCTTTAATTGGATGGATGCTTTTCTTCATTCTGGGATCTAACCTGTCTCTTTTTTTTTCTTTCTTAATATCCCCACCCCTTTCCTTCCTTCCTTCCTTTCTTTTCTCTCTCTCTCCCCACCCTCCCATCTTCCACTGCCAGCTCCCTGAACCGCTCTGAAAACAGCCATTGATCGCCGGTCTCTGCTATGTCTCCCCAACCATTGGGCCTCTACTTGTGTCTTGAGCACTTTCTAGCAGCAAGATTTGAATTTCATCCAGTTTCTTCATCCTCTTCTTTTTAATAAGCTTTATGGGTACAGCCTATAAGGATGGGCATAAGCCTATAAGGAAGTGGGTTTATTTATATAACATTTGAGTGTGTCTAGGTTTCACTTTTTCAACATTACGATTTCCAAAAGTGCTTAAGAAGTGGAACGTAATTGCGATTTGGATGAGCGGATTCTCCTACTTGATTATTTGCCTTTTAGATCCAACTATTTATGAAGGTATGTTTTAGTTCCTAAATGGTTTAAGTTTACAGCCGGGAAATGATTAGTATTGACTTGTTACCTGGCATTACGGTAATATAAACGGATGCCTGCTACAGCATGGGTTTTGCCAATGACCCGCACCATGACTTAATTTAATTTAACTTAACTTAATTTAATCTAAATTAGATTAAATCAGAGGGCACCCAAGTCCAGATGATTCTGGGTGCCGTAGATTTAAAAAAAAAAAGAGCAAGAACAATAAAAATGAAACAGAATGCAAGCGTCCAGAAGGGAAACCTGGAACCCAAAGATGCAAAGGGTAATTAGTTGGCAGCCATAAATTATTGTTGATCTACATAAGGATTCTCTTTTTGGGGGCCTGGTAGCCAAAGGAGTATTCTTATACTGTATCAGATGTGGGCCAGATGGTTTTTACAGTAAAGGTTTTATTTAATTTAATTAGTACTGATACTATTGCTACTCTGTGGATGAGGGTCGTTTCTAGTGTTGGCTTTAGATCTTGAAGATAATGTATGTTGTTCTTTCAGAGAGTTGAATGTGAGTTAGTAGAGGCATTGGTACATGTGTTGTCGTCTCTAGTAAATTGTTTCAGAGAGTTTGTAGCAGGTCGGAAGTCCTGCCTGTTTTTACTTGGTTGTTAATAGAAAAGTGTAGATAAATCTTCTTAAGTAAGATCATGAAGGATTATTTCTCAGCAGATTTTGAATGAAAACAATTAAGAGAGTTAATTGAAATCTTTGCAAATTGTCATTGAGCTACTACCATGTTTCCCCAAAAATAAGACCCTGTTTTATATTTTTTTTGAACCCTGAAATAAGCCCTTGGCCTTATTGCCATGCACTCAAAAGCCCGATTGGGCTTATTATCAGGGGATTTCTTATTTTGGGGGAAACCGGGTGTAATATTAATATTTCAGTGAGGTTTATTTATATGCTGTTCTGGTGTTTGGCAAGTGATCTATTTCAAGATAAAAGACCTTTGGTTTAGTAAAAGATGTAAAAATGATTCTCCATAGGATCTTTGATTCAAAAATGAACCATGAAAACATGTATAAGAGGGCAATGTTAGACTAAGTAAGTTAAAATTTAGTTTAAATTTAGATACACCAAGGGAAATTCAGATTCCTGACCAAGGGAAAGAAACACCGCTAGATTCTGTCTTTCCCTATAATCATGTTATTCTCTTTCTCTTGGTCTCACTCACTTTCAAACACACGTATTCAGAATCTAATGAGAAATATTCTTTAACAAGCTTGCCTTGGTCTGTCTTGAAAATACCTTTAAATGGGGCTAAGTTAAAGCACGTGGCTGGTAGTCTTTTTTTTTTTTTAAGAAAGAAGCAGAAGTTTACTCTTTTCATTAGGTCTGCAGCAAAGTTTACTATTTATTATAAAACCTAGTTGTACTTAAATACTGTAAGACTTTCTCTTGGGCTTGGTGCATTGGATTTTGGTACCAAAATTTACCATTGAGTTCTCTGTCATTTTAAAAGACTAATGGTGATAATAAATCATGTTCATTATATTAGGATCTGATGGAAAGACCAAGCAGGTGCCAAGGTCTGAATGGGCAGCCTTGTCCTCTCCCAGGCCACATGTGAACTCTGTTTTTTAAACCTGCCAAACTCTGCAAGAATCATTAAAAATCAGAGTCCTTGTAATGTAATGCTTAAAATAGGTTGGATATAGTTGGAAAGCCAGAACAGATCTCTCAGTTCTGACCCAATGCTAGGACGGTTGGAGTTAGGAGGGCTGTATTAAAATACATACTAAGGCCCTTCTGAGCTCCAGAATGTGCCAGTGGCAACATAGGGATGGGATGGCAATGAGAAACGTTCTAGATCAAGTCCATCTTCATGTGTTACTGCGTTGATAGCCAGTAATTCTCCAGATTAGATATGTTTAACCAGACAGCCTAGGATCTTAGGAAGGGTCCTCTTCAACTAAGAGCAGTGTTTCTCAACTTCGGCAACTTTAAACTGTGAGAACTATAACTCCCAGAATTCTGATGGGGAGCTCTGGGAGTTGAAGTTCACACAACTTAAAATTGTCGAGGTTCAGAAACACGGCTACAGATACTTCCTTCTCCCTGTTATAAGACTTCCTTAAAAGTCTTCCTCAAAAGCTCTAAAGGCCCAGCCATTAATTGGTTGACAATGCTATTCCATTTTTTTGTTCTTTACATCAGTATTTGTTGTAATTTGTCCTTTGTTGTAATAGGAGATGGGAAAGAGAGAGGAGCCAAAATAGGATTTATTATAACCGACATGAAACTTATGAAAAGGGTTGCAAAACTGTGGTTTGTGTATAGGCCATTCCTTTGGCCCCAGAGCCTTCCAGATTGGGAGAGCCAACGAATTTGACCCTTTCGGCGTTTTGCTGGGATTAGAGAAAGCTGAGGACCAAGTGACTACTTTAAGAGAACTAAGGTATCAAGTTCTCCTCATAACACCCACCTCACAAAATGAGGATCTTCTTACCGGTAGGTAATTTGTCCCTTTATGAGCCATGTAAAGTCAGGTATGATCCTTTTGTTGATGGAAGTTACATGCTCATGAATCTAATTATTTACAACCTTTGCTTTTGACTATAGGTCCATTTCTCTGAGGGTCATGCAAACATCCTTCCGTAATTCTGGGCTGTACTTGGAGATGACTTAGAGAGCCCATTTGATGTAGTGGTAAAGGTGCTGACCTAGAAGTCAGGGGACTGTGAGTTCTAGTTTTCCCTTAGGCATGAAAATCGGCTAGGTGATTTTGGGCTAGTCATTCTCTTTCAGCCCAACCCACCTCACAGGGTTGTTGTGAGGAAAATAGGTAAGAGAGTTAAGTATGCTCGCTGCCTTGAGTTGACTGAAGTATGTTAAAAAGGGGGTAAAAATAATAAATAAACAAATAAATAAATAAATAAATATAATAATAATAATAAAAAATAACAGCAACAACATCACAGTCGTCCCAGAAGGCTGGAATTTTTGCTTTAATTTGCAATTCTGTTGGATTTAACAGTGTATGTTAAGCTTTGTTGGGAGCTTAACATACGTATTTCCTATCACGTGCCACTGAATTTGCCACGGCTTAGGAAGAATGATAGAACACAGGTAGTTCTCGACTTATGACCACCATTGAGCCCAAAACTTCCATTGCTAACTGAGATACGGAATTATGTGAGTTTTGCCCCATTTTGTGACTTTTCTTGCCTCAGTTGTTTAAGTCAGGGATGGGCAACTGTGGCCCTTTTACAACCTGTGGACTTCAACTCCCAGAATTCCTGAGATAGCTTGTTATTAAGTTAGTAACACGGTTGTAAAGTAAATCTGGGTTCTCCATTGACTTAGCTTGTGACCCTGGGATTCTGCAACCGTCATAAATATGAGCCAGTTGCCAAGCGATCGAATTTTGATCATGTGACCATGGGGCTGCTGCAAAGGTCGTAAGTGAAAAACAACCATGTCACTTTTTTCAGTGCCATTGTAACTTCAAATGGTCACCAAACAAAACGTCGTAAGTCGAGGACTACCTGAAAAAGGTAAGCTTTGGAACCACGTGGGTCCTACAGCTTGTACAGAATGAATCCCCAGCCATTAATCTAATCCATAAACTCTAAAGGAAATGACAAGTGCTAAATTCTTTGCTGTTTCAGCCCAGTGCCATTTTCTTGTCTTTCTCTGTTTTGTGGTCAGTTGCTTGTGCTTATATGTTGTCTTTTAAATGTTATTCTGCCTGTGGTAGGTTATTGCCCTTTGGTCAGCCCCCAGCACTGTTGAGGTGTTTGCTTAGTAGGTCAAAAGGATGTGTTTGGTGTTTTCAACCTAGAACAGTTGCCATGCTCCTCAAAAGCAGGAGAAGTCGAAACTCTCAGCTTCGTTTTCAGAACTGAACTGAAAGAGATGTTGGGAATTCGGAGAAGGAAATGAAAAATTAAGAGCTGAGTCCAGATTTGTAAGCACGGAAGGGAGAATTGGTAAGGTAGTGTCAAGAGGGAGGTGTTAGGAGTCAGGTGCGGAAAACAAAGAATTGTTATATTATAATTAAATGTTCTGTTATAAGGAAAGGGAAATGGGGAAGCAAATGTGTGCCAAGTTCATTCAAACACTGTGCCAGGGGAGGAAAAATTGGTCTAACAAATACATAATTGCTTAGCTTTCTCAGTGTGGTTGGTACTTGTACTAACCCTCCCTATGCTGTCCAGTTGTGTAACTCCGCAGTTGTGTTTGCTGTGCCAGCTAGGAGTACTGCAGTGGCCATTGTAGTCTAAGGCCAGAGGGTGTCAGGTGGAAGAAAAACCAAGATGCCATCTAACACATCTGGATGTGTTAGAATGTGAGAATGGCTCTGTTGGCTTGAGATTCTGAGGAACCAAAGGCCATCATTTGGAAGGAACTGGTTTGCGAAAAGTTGCATTATGGAACCATTATTGGAAAAAATATTGGTAACAGGATGGGAGGAGTCTTAGGCTGAATCCCCATTCAGTTATGATGCCTGTTGGATGACCTGGATCAAGTTATTTGCCAGATTTCCTCATCCTGCAAGGATGAAACAAGCGAGGAGATCTATGCTCTGGGATCTTTCCAAGCAGCTTGGGGAAAGATTGGGCTAAAAAAGTAATTCTGATTTGAAGTCAGTCCTTCTTGCCTTTGAACAGTACTAATTAGTTCTCTCGGTTCTTGTATCTTCTGAGATTTTTTTTACCAGAGTTCATTTTTAGGCCTGTTTTTGCCCCGGTGCCAATATATTTGTTCCCACTACTTATTTAACAAAATCCCGGGAGCTCTGAATGATTAATCTGAAGCCAAATGCCTCCTCTTCGCTTCCTTTTGAGTTGACCATCACTTCCTCTGCAATCAGGCACCTGAGTGACACTGAGCTTCGCCATCTATATCAGGCGGGTCAAACTCGCAGCCCGTGGGCTCGATGCATCACACTCTGGCCACACCCACCTCCAGTTTAGCGAAGGGAGGAAAAGTCACAACACATCACGTGACGACAACCTGATGCCGCACGTTTGACACCCCTGATCTATACTAGAAACCCGGAGAACTAGTCTGTCAGGGACAGGGTACGATACTCAAAGTCAGAAGACTTGGTGCTGAGAACAAAGCACAAAGAGAATACTGCTATCTGTTGAAACCATGCTGGTTTCCCCATTTTTCAAAGCATCCAACTGGGCCCCCCCAACAAACTCATTTGATCCAGTATTGCATTTCTCCCGTCTTCCATTTTCCCGATGGAAAAAACTTGGAAGTCAACATCGTAGCCCCTTGAGAAGGAAGTCAGGTTGGCAGCTAGAACTGTGTCTGCTATCCTCAACCCAGTGGCAGCCTTTACTGAAGGTTCCTTGTAGAACACCATAGGCTGGACTTCCCCAGCACCTCCAAAGGTGTTAACCCAGTTCCCATAATTCCCCATGTGGGGAATTCGTAGATGTCAACTCTGTTCATTTGTGAAGAACTCTTTCTCTCTCTCACTCTGCCCCCTTCCCGCCTTTTTTTTTGGTCCGGCAGTTTTCCAGCAGCCTTTTGTTTTCCACTGTACCTTCTTGGTCCCCTTCTGATCAAAACAGCCAAGATCCTGACTTGCCTTTGGCTGTTTAGTGTGTGGCGTGATCAAATAATGAACTTTTGTTTACATTTCAATAATAATAAAGTTTGGATTTTTTAAACATTATAATGTGTGGTTTTTGTCTTTTTGTCACTATCTTCCGGGGAAAAAACTGTTGCTATACTTCCGTGGCCCACTTCTCCCAAGGCTCACTCTTCCAACACATGAATGGGCCATTGAAGAATTGGAGAAGATGGGCTAATAGAAGTTGTATATTGTTCTGCGGTCATTAGCAACTTTTGTGGGTTTGCTCCATTCTTATATTTTTTATTTATCAAATTTTTATACCGCCCTTCTCCCAAAGGGACTCAGGACGGTGTACAGCCAAGATAAAAACCAACAATATAAAAGTTAAAAACAATTTAAAATTATTAGATAGTTTGGCCAATCATCTAAAACACAATAACCCGTTAAAATAATATTTTAGGCCAGCCCTGCTTGATGGAATAATAGCGTTTTAAGGGTGCGGTGGAAGGTACGGAGGTCGGAAATCCGACGAATCTCTGGGGGCAGCTCATTCCAGAGGGCAGGTGCTCCCATAGAGAAGGCTCTACCCCTGGGGGTCGCCAGTCGACACTGTCTAACTGATGGCACCCTGAGGAGACCCTCTCTGTGGGAGCGTACTGGTCGGTGGGAGGCTACCGGAGGCAGAAGGCGGTCTCGTAAATATCCAGGTCCTATGCCATGGAGCGCTTTAAAGGTGGCGACCAATACCTTGAATCACACCTGGAAGACCACTGGGAGCCAGTGCAGCTCGCACAGGAAAGATGTTACATGGGAGCATCAAGTCGCCCCCATAATCACCCGCGCATTCTGCGCGGGTGATTATGGCTGCATTCTGGACCAGCTGGAGCCTCCGGATGCTCTTCAAGGGGAGCCCCATGTAGAGAGCATTATAGTAGTCCAGATGGGAAGTGATGAGGGCGTGAGTGGCCGTGCGCAAGGTGTCCCAGTCCAGAAAGGGGCGCAACTGGTGGATCAGGCAAACCTGATAAAAAGCCCCCCTGGCCACAGCCATCAGATGGTCTTCTAAAGACAGCTGAGAGTCCAGGAGGACACCCAAGTTGCGAACCCTCTCTGAGGGGGCCAAGGTCTCACCCCCTATAGTCAGTGATGGAACCAGGTGACTATGACGGGACGCTGGAAACCACAGCCACTCGGTCTTGGAGGGGTTGAGCCTGAGCTTGTTTCTCCCCATCCAGATCCGTACGGCCTCCAGGCACCGGGTCATCACTACAAGGGCATCATTGGGGTGGCCCGGGGTGGAAATGTACAGCTGAGTGTCATCAGCGTACTGATGGAAATCCACCCCGAAGCCACAGATGATCTCACCCAGCTGCTTCACATAAATGTTGAACAGGAGAGGCGAGAGGACTGACCCGTGGCACCCCACAAACTAGGCGCCTCGGCATCGACCTCTGCCCCCGTCAACACAGACTGTGTATGGTCAGAAAGGAAGGAGGAGAACCACCGTAACATGGTGCCCCTCTCTTGGGGTGGTCTTTTGTGTAACACTTATTGCAGAGTCACAGAAGGACAAACACAGATGGAGATCTCTTGGGACTCTACAGGGAGTTTCAAATTCAAGAAATTACTAGCAATGCCAATAACTTAGGGCATCGTCTAAACTCCACTGAAGATGGTACCTAGCCTGGTAACAAAACGGAAACCAACCCACAAGCTCGGAGAACGAACCCTCATCCTACACCCGAGCTACAGATATTGCAATGCCAATAGCATTTAGGCTTATATGCTGCTCCTGCCCCATAGCATTTTACAATCCTCTGTGGGAGGTTTACAATGTCAGCGTTGTTTGCATATTGCCCCCAACAATCTCGGTCCTCATTTTACCAGCCTAAGACAGATAGAAAGCTAAGTCAACCTTGGGCCCTATCAAGATCAAACTGCAGGCTGTGGGCAGAGTTTGCCTACAATATTGCATTCTAACCACTGTGCCATAGAGCTTGTTGTGTGCCCAAAACCACAAACAATCGCTCTTAAAACGGAGACTGTCATAGATGTTCTAATCACTCATTAGACATCTTCCTGATGATTCACTCAGGATGATTGAAGAAATATAATATGAAAGGGAAAAGTGGGGGAAGAAACAGATTAAGATGTGACTCTAATTTATCTCCTGATATCTCCACGGCAAGGCAATTTTGGGTAGGAAAAAAAAATAGAACCTCATGAATTGTTTGTACTGCAGTCAGGATATGCAATGTGCATTTTTGTAAGCAGAAGCATTCAATCTATAAAATGCTACCTTATAATCTGATGTGGTGGCTCAGTGGCTAAGACGCTGAGCTTGTCAATCGAAAGGTTGGCAGTTCAGCGGTTCGAATCCCTAGTGCTGCATAATAGGGTGAGCTCCCATTACTTGTCTCAGCTTCTGCCAACCTAGCAATTTGAAAGCATGTAAAAAATGCAAGTAGAAAAATAGGGGCCACCTTTGGTGGGAAGGTAACAGCGTTCCATGCGCCTTTGGCATTTAGTCATGCCGGCCACATGACTACAGAGACGTCTTTGGACAGCGCTGGCTCTTCGGCTTTGAAACAGAGATGAGCACCGCCCCCTAGAGTCAGGAACGACTAGCACAAATGTGTGAGGGGAACCTTTACCTTATAATCTGCTGTACTGGTAAAAATATATTGTTATGTATGGCAGATACAGAATACAGAAAGGAAGTACATGCTAATGAACCCTGAGATTTTATAGTCCATTACTTAGATATTCCAGCTTTCCCCTTCCATTGAATTGGATTAACGCTACCTTCCTTCCAGTCATTGTAGTCAATCAGAGAGAGAGAGGGAAAGGGAGGGAGAGAGAGAGAAAGAATAGCCTTTGTGCCTATTCATGTAGGTTTCTTCCCCAGTTATCAGTAATAAAGAAAAAAAAAACCCTACATATAGTTGTAGTCCCATAAAACATTAGAAATTTTCCAGCTAATCAGCTGATTTGTAATTTACTGCAAGCAGAATACCTGCTGGGCCTCTATGATTCTTAAGAGTCCTCATTTAACATCTACTCCTTCAGTGATCATTGTAAGTTATGTCAGGGCGGAATGAGGGGAACTTACAATGGGTCCTCATAGTTGTGGCTCTTGCAACATGTGCCATGGTGGCGCAGTGGTTAGAGTGGAGTACTGCGGACTACTTCTGCTGACTGCCGGCTGCCTGTGATTTGGTAGTTCAAATCTCACCAGGCTCAAGATTGACTCAGCCTTCCATCCTTCCGAGGTGGGTAAAATGAGGACCCAAATTGTTGGGGACAATATCAGGGGTGGGCTTCAAAAATTTTAGCAAGGGGTTCTCTGCCCAGTTGCTGGGTGGGCATGGCCATGGTGGCCATGGCCTAGTCGGCCTCCTGCACCACAGTGGTGGTGGTGGGGCATTTTTGCCCTCCCCGGGCTCCAGAGGCTTTCCTCGAGCGTCTGGGAGGGCGAAAACAGCCTTCCAAGGCCCGCTAGGCCTCTGAAGGATAGAAACAGGCCTGTTTCCGGCCTTCCTGAACTTCTGGCCCTCCCTGAGCCTTTGTGTGCCCCCTGCACTTACTTGCACCAAAACAGGCTGCGTGGGGACTCCTGGGAGGGGCAGGGTGGGGTGGGCGGGGCCAACCAGGAGTAGGATTTGTGGCTTCCCCGAACTGCACAGAATCTTAGCTAGAGGTTCTCCCGAACCCCTGTGAACCCCCAGCAGCCCACCACTGGACAATATGCTGACTCTAAACCGCTTAGAGAGGGCTATAAAGCACTGTAAAGCGGTATATAAGTCTAAATGTTATTGTTATTATTATTGTTATCCCCACAATGATCACAATTAAGGCACTTTGCAACCAGTTGCAACTTCATCAGATTCCCCAGTCACATGGTCACCGTTTGCGACCTTCACTGCCAGCTTCCACAACAAGCAAAGTCAATGGGGAAGCCAGCAGGAGGTTGCAAACGATGATCATGTGACCATGGGATGCTATGACCATGCAGGGTTTGCCTTAAGAGTGGCAAGTGAGATTGGTGGAACTGCCATCATAAGTTGCTGCAGTCGCATGACGTTGTGTCTTATGGCTGCTTGCTTAGCAACGGAGTTCCTGATCCCAGTTATTTTCAGTAAGCAAGGACTACCTGCATTGGGTTAACAGAAGTCTACAATACCTAGTGTGAGGCTGGGTTAACCGTCCGATGCGAGACCGATGATGCTCAATGAGCCCTGGTAGTACAGGGGTTTAAGGCACCCTGTTATTAAGCTGGTTATTAAGACCAGCTGCCTGCAATTACTGCAGGGTTCGAATCTCGCCAAGGCTCAAGGTTGACTCAGCCTTCCAACCTTTCTAAGGTAGGTGAAATGAGGACCCAGTTTGTGGGGGCAATAAGCTGACTTTGTATAAATATACAAAAGGATGAAGGCTATTGCTTAACGCATTGTAAGCCGCCCTGAGTCTCCGGAGAAGGGCGGCATATAAATCAAATAAAAAAAAAAAGTCACTCCTCATTCTTTGCAATATCATTTTGCCAGGATTGTCTGTTATAACTACTTCGTAGGGTTCTTCTTAGCTGATGGCTTTGCCATCAATGAGAGTTATCTCACCCCTTGTCTGCTGTCAGTGTCTTTCCCAATCATTTTTGATTTTCAAAGCACTAGGCTCTTCCCCAATGACTCTTAACTTTAAAGGAGAATATTTGTAGTTGAAATGAGGGGTCCTTGGTACTCTCTGAGCTTGATGGTTTTCTTGCAGATGTTTCATTACCTTAACTAGCACTGGTGATGTTACCTAGTTTGGGTAATGAAACATCTCTGCAAGAAAACAACCAGCTCAGAGAGAACCAAGGACCCTCACTCTTAACTTTGTGTGGTGTGTCCAAGAGTGATGGTAGGTTCCAACAGTTATAGCCTTAAGAGGAGTCTTCCCAAATTCTTGAGATTCTCTCTCTGCTTTCTTCTGACCATCAGCTGTGCTAATGGTAGATATTTACACTTCTTTTTCAAGGCTGTAGTATAATATACTGCTCAAAAAAATAAAAGGAACACAAGCAGAAGACATCCGAGATCTGAATGAATGAAATAGCCTTATTAAAATACTTTGTTCTTTACATACAGTAGTTTATACACTGCTCAAACAACTAAAGGGACCACAAAACTACTGTATGTAACGAACCAAGTATTTAATAAGGCTATTTCATTCATTCAGATCTCGGATGTCTTCTGCTTGTGGTTCCTTTAGTTGTTTGAGCAGTGTATATATGTATTTTTAAATGGACAGATAGTACTAGGACAGTATAAACCTTGATGAGAGGTATAAAAATACCATAAATGTCCTTCCTGAGGAAAGGAAGCTGTGGTCCACCGTCTTGATTCCATTTCACGCGTCTTTCCCTTACAGCACATCCTTTATCCTGTTGCATTTTGGCTCGATGCTCCTGTCCCACCCATAGCTTCCTGCTTGCCTCATCATCTCCACCCCCTGCTTGTTTTTCCCTTCCCTTCCTCCAGGGGGAGCTCTGAAAAGGACAGCCTGATAGCTAAGAAGTGTTCCTACAGCCGCTTCAAGAACTCGGCTGAAAGTGCAGAAGACCCTGAGAAAAAACCAGGTGAGTGACCTCTGAGGAGTGTGTGTGTGTGTGTGTGTGTGTGTGGTGGGGGAGAGAAAGGTCGCTTAGCAACTGTTTGAAGTTCTGACGGATCTACTTTCAGTTCAAAATGCCAACTTTCAGCCCTCCTCCCTGGGTCACATGACTGCACTTTGGATTACTTGGCAATCTGGACCGCATTTATGGCTGTTTGCGGCATCCCGCAATCACATAACCCCATTTTACAACGGTTTTGCCAAAAAAAATGGCATTTACTTTCATTTTTTTTGGCAAAGCCACACCTGTGGCAAAACATCGGTTTCCTTAACGGCCACTCCCTTTGCTTAATAACCTACCCCAAAAAAGGTTGCGAAAAATAGGGTCAGTCACGTGACTAACTTGCTTTATGGCCATTATGAGTTACAACCGTGATGAGTAGGCTCCATTACTGTCATAAATCGAGGACTACCTAAATTTTCACATTTAGACTTAGCTATTTACCCAACAGAGCAGGGGTGAAATCCAGCAGGTTCTGACAGCTTCTGGAGAACTGGTAGCAGAAATTTTGAGCAGTTCGGAGAACCGTTAGCGGAAAGTTTGAGTAGTTCAGAGAACTGGCAAATACCACCTCTGGCTGGCCCCAGAGTGGGGTGGGAATGGAGATTTTGCAATATCCTTCCCCCAGGAGTGGGGAGGGAATGAGGATTTTGCAGTATCCTTCCCCTGGAGTGGGGTGGGAATGGAGATTCTGCAGTATCCTTCCCCTGTCATGCCCACCAAGCCATGCCACACCCACAGAACCAACCGGTAGTAAAAAAAATTGGATTTCACCACTGCAACAGGCTGGGAAAATGTAAAGCACTGATGGAATGCTTTGGGGAGTGAAGTCTGCATTTTGCCTGGGGCCACATTCAAACAACAGATCAGAAAAACAACAGTCCCCAAAAAGTGAAACACTGACAACAAAATTACTTCATTGAAATATGCATTCATCCAATGACTAGGGCTGTGGGCCAGAGGTTGCCCCTGGCTATTGCAAAGAATTCACTTTAAAACAAATACTTGCAAAGTATCCTCAAGCCTTCGAAGACGTTTACCATGCTTGCCTGTTTGTGAAAAAAATAAGAATTTTCTTTATTCTGGGTCATCTTTTTGGTCCATCTAGCCAAGGCAGCATTTTTTTCTTCTGTTAAGTAGATTCATTCACTGAGAATGAAAGATGGAAAATGTGGCTCTCTATCATTCTATATGGAAAACGTGGCTTTTCTATATTCTATAATATAATACAGGTGTTCCCCAATTTACAACAGTTCATTTAATGACCAAAGTTACAACGGCACTAAAAAAAGTGACTGATGACTGTTTTTCACACCTACAACTGTTGCAACATGCTGATCACGTGATCAAAAATCAGACACTTGGCAACTGATTCATATTTACGACAGTTGTAGTGTCCTGGGGTCATGATAAGCAAAGTCAATGGGGAAACCAGATTCACTTAACAACCGTGTTACTAACCTAACGACTGCAGGGATTCACTTAACAACTGTGGCAAGAAAGGTCGTAAAATGGGGCAAAACTCACTTAACAAATGTTTCACTTAGCAGCAGAAATTTTGGGCTCAATCGTGTTTGTAAGTTGAGGACTACCTGTACTAACATAGATGGGACGGGTACACCCACCTGTGTTTAAGGCAGTCTCGGCTTATTTAGAAAACAATGTCCTGGATGCTCATTCAAAACAAAAATGCAGATGTTAGGATTCTCAAGATACTGAACATTGCTCTCGAATGCTTCAAAATTTTCCCTTGTGTGTGCAAGGTCCGCTTTGCAAGCTAGACTATTTAATGGCGTTCAAACACATGTATTTGAGCTTGTATTTTTCCTGCCATAAAACCAGGTTTGGCAAGCTTAGGCAGAGGATTGTGTTACTCACCAGCTTCCTGCAAGAAAAAAAAGTAGAAAAGATAGAAAGATTACAGCAGGAGAAGATTATGTCCCCCTATAAAATTCCATGAGTGAAGCAGCAAATTTTATTTTATTATTATTTATTTTATTTATTTTATTAATTCAATTTATATGCCGCCTTTCTCCGAAGACTCAGGGCGGCTTACAATGCATTTAAAAAACCATTATAAAAACATTTAAAAATTAAAACATTAAAACATCACACCATTCATGGCCGGATCTCACAAGATCGCAACAGCGAGAAAAGCCAGGTCTTCACTGCTTTTCAGAAGGCCAATAGGGTGGGGGCGGTCCGGACCTCAGGAGGTAACTGGTTCCAGAGAGCTGGGGCAGCCACAGAGAAGGCCCACCCCCGTGGGCCCGCCAGCCGGCATTGTTTAGCTGACGGGACCCGGAGGAGACCAACTCTGTGGGATCTTACCATCGCTGGGAGCTATGCGGCAGAAGGCGGTCTCGAAGATAACCTGGCCCTGAGCCATGTAGGGCTTTAAAGATAATAACCTACACCTTGAATTGTGCCTGGAGACCAATAGGGAGCCAGTGCAGCTCACGGAGAATTGGTGTAATGTGGGTGTATCTAGGTGCATCCACGATAGCTCACGCGGCTGCATTCTGGACCAACTGTAGTCTCCGAACACTTTTCAAGGGTAGCCCCATGTAGAGCGCATTGCAATAATTTAACCGTGAGGTGACAAGGGCATGAGTGACTGTGAGGAGAGCCTCCCGATCCAAGTAGGGTTGCAATTGGTGTACCAGGCAAACCTGTGCAAAGGTCCCCCTAGCCACAGCTGTCAGATGTTGTTCTAATCTTAGCTGTGAGTCTAGGAGGACACCCAAATTGTGAGCCCGTTCTGAGGGGGACAATTTCTCCCCCACCCCCAGAACCAAGGATGGACAATCAACATAGTCTATAGGAGGCAATACCCACAGCCACTTGGTCTTGTCTGGGTTAAGTCTGAGCCTGTTGACTCCCATCCAAACCCTCACAGCCTCCGAGCACCAGCACATCACATCCACTGCATCACTGAATTGACGCAGGGTAGAGATATACAGCTGGGTATCAGCGTACTGCTGATATCTCACCCCGTATCGTCAGATGATCTCACCCAGCGGCTTCATGTAGATGTTAAATAGGAGGGGAGAGAGGACCGAGCCCTGAGGCACCCAGCAAACGAGGGGCCTAGGGGTCAACCTCTGTCTTCCTACCATCACCGACTGTGACCGACCACAGAGATAGGAGGAGAACCACCGTAACACGGTGCCTCCCACTCCCAACTCCCTTTGTCGTCCCAGACTATTTATTTAGCATATAGCATATCATACATGGGCTAGCAATACATATTAGCATTTCAGCTAAATTAGTAGAACCCAATAAAATATAAATGTTAAAAAGACCTATGTTCAAATATCAATGTCTAGGCCAGGGGTGTCAATCTCAATGAGGGCTGCATCAGCATTATGGTTGCCCTCAAAGGGCCCGTTGCATGTAAGACTGCGCCATGTATCATATTACGGTAGGTCAGGAGTGCATTATACAAAGGGAGCCTCGGACAATAAAGGTTTGAAAGGACGTTGACTTACCTGAACGTCCATTTTATCCTCGCTGCGAAGACATTCCTCAGTCTATCCAATGACGGTGGATATCTCCCAATCTGTGGAATGTCGGAGCAGTGAGGGAGGAAAATTGAATTGAATGTCTAGGCCATTTAAACATAGAAGCACAGCATCGTTTATATTTTAAAACATCAGATACTGAACCGATATACAAGCTCAGCTTAGAGACAGTCACAATGTGATCTACGGTTTGATGTGGGACCCGGCAGACACATTGAGGGAAGGACACTATGCCCCATTGATCATTTATCAAGCAGCAAATGATTATACAAATAAAATCTCACCTGGAACAGTCTTTAATCTTTGCACACTAAACAGCCTTTTCAGAACAGAACATAGAACCTACAATATATTAGTATGCATTTAGTAAAATAATATCTGAACCTGGCTTCTTCCTACTTTTTTAGGGGATATAAAGGATAACTCTGATTCACCAAAAGCAACTCAGAGATCAGACAGCAAGTAAGTCTTTCCCTTACTCTTTGTAATTCTTTTCATCATCATTTCCAGAGCTCCTGTTACTTGTCCCAGCTTCTGCCAATTTAGCAGTTTGAAAGCACGTAAAAAATGCAAGTAGAAAAATAGGGGCCACCTTTAGTGGGAAGGTAACAGCGTTCCGTGTGCCTTTGGCGTTTAGTCATGCCGACCACATGACCATGGAGACGTCTTCGGACAGCACTGGCTCTTCGGCTTTGAAACGGAGATGAGCACCGCCCCCTAGAGTTGGGAATGACTAGTACATAGGTGCGAGGGGAACCTTTATAATTACCTACATGGTTTTTTTGATCTTCCCTGATCTATCTAGATAACTGCTCTTTCTCTCCCTTAGACTTAAAGGCACTGCTCTGAGCCATCCCCATGATCCAGAATCAATGATCATTAGGCAGATGGAAAAGACAGTCCATGTTCCTGAAGAATCTTCGCCTCCCACGATGGATGCTCAAAGTCTTGGTGATTCAGCCCTTCGGGAAGAGACAAAGAACTCCAATGCTTTAATAGTCCCTTACACGAATGCCATTTGCAAAAGTAACCATCAAGTTCCCAGGATTTCTCTGAAGCAGAATAAGGGGCTGTACAATCTGGCCCCAAACTCATGCCAGGTCAAGCCACTGTGGATAGCAGCAGGAAGTCCTTACGAAGCCAAGTGGATTCACCACAAGTATCTGTATTGCAATACTAGACCTTGGTAAGGGAAATGGACCAAAATCATGGCTGTTGAGTTAACAGATAATGTTGTCTGTAGGAAGTAGGACAACATTGCCAGCAGCATTGTTAAAGTATTAGTTATTGAAGTCTTCCTCTTCTCTGTTACTAGATCTGACTAAAGTAGCAGCATAACTTTTCTTAGGTTTGCTTCCTTAAGATCAGAGTAGAAGCCATTTAGTATTGTTTGTTACTCACTCCATACATTGGGGTGGTGAATCTGACCCACTAGAACAGCAGTTCCCAAACATGCTGAATTAAAATGTGTGGATTTCCAACTCCCAGAATTTTCTAGCTAGCCATGTTGGCTGAGCAATTCTGGGAGTTGAAGTCCACACATCTTAAAGTTGCCAAGATTGGGACCTTCTGCTCTAGACGATGCTAAAGTACAACTGTCAGCAGCTCCAGTTGACCTGGTCAACGATGGAGGATACAGGAGTTGTAATTCAGAGACGACCTCACACCTGCCTGTATTTTAAGGGTATGGACTTGTTTGCTTTATGCTAATTTTTGTTTTTTCATTTTGAAATCCTTCTAATTTCTTCTTTGCAAATGGAAGTTTGTTTAGTTAGCTGTTACTGTATCTGAAATCGTATTTCAAATTCCTTTCCCCCCTCCCCCATTTCTTTCAAAATTTGAGAGCCAAATATAGGTTTCCAAATGAGAATGAAAGCAAAACAGATTTATAGGCCATCATATGCTGTAAACTTGGGGATTCGACCCACATGGAAACTTGAATGTAGATTTAAAACATTGTTTAAAATGTGATAGAATTTAATTAAGTTATCTCACTTGGAGATACTGTGCCATGTTGAATTTACTTAAATGTTAAAGAAGGACAGGCTACAGTTCTGTGCTTTTGTCTTGACTAATAAGAAAATGTTGGAAGGGATATGTGCAATAAAAATATCCAATTTAATCAAAATGGATTTAGCACTTTGGGGTCTAAATTCAGATCTCATTCTAGTTTGGTTTATTTTAATTCTTAATTGGTCTACATCAATTTACATGATGTAGTTGGAAAAGGCTGATTGAAATAAAACCGGCATTTCTCATTCTTTGTTGATCCTTGTCAAGTCCCTTTAACTAACGAGATTTAATAGAATATGATAGGACAAAATACACTTATTGGGGGGGGGGTGTTGTTAATTGAAGCATGTGTGAAATGTGAAAGTTTATTGTATGTTTTCTGATTTAGGAGAAGCATGTTAAGAGAACAGCCATGAATTATGGATTGTTCTCCATGAATATGGAGTTGAAAGTTGATTGCTGTATGTGATAAGGAAGTATAGGATGGACATAAATCATGAGTAGAGATGGTATGCTTAGCAAATGATTCAAAGTTGCAGAACTTAGAATAACTTTATTGTCACTTTGAATGTACACTAATCCCCATACTTTAAAATGAAATTTCATTGCATACAGCTCTCAAAGGGTCACCACCTCCAATATACACTACATAAATGACTAAATAAACAAATAAACAAACAAATAAATACAAAATTATGCATATACCCACATATATTATATGACACAGAGAAACAACACTCTAGTCTGGATGTATACATGTACAAGGCGAGAAAAACGAATCTTGCAAGTTTACCAGACGGATGGCATAGAGAACAAAGCTATTACAGAATCAGGTAGTTCTGTTAGAAATACTTTGAAACCTCCTACCAGAAGGAAGCAACAGAAACAGACCCTAAAGTGGGTGTGTGGGGTCTCTAACAGTGCTTTGAGCTCTATGCATATAGTGCTTATAAGCAGGATCCTGAATAACAGGAAGCAAGCTTCCTATAATCTCTGCTGTCTTTACCACTCTCTGTATGGACTTTCTATCTGAGGCACTGCTGCCACCAAACAAAACAGTGATGTAGTTTATTAAAACGCTCTCAATTGTGCCTCTGTAAAAAGCAGGACTAAAATTACGAAGTGTAATGCCCTCTTAGTTGTTTAATGTATTAATGGGTGAATGTATTAGAAATACCTGTAGTAATATTAGAGATGTGTTAGTTAGGGTC